CCGCTGCCGCGCTGCCGGGACGCGGCGGCCGGCCGCGCGCGGGCCCTCTACCTGGTGGCCAGGGACATCGCGGCGCTGCTGCAGGCCGGCGCCGGACACGCCGAGCGGCTGACACAGGCGCTGGCGCAGCTTGGGGAGCTCGGTGTGGCGCTGACCGAGAGCTGCGCGGAGGCCGGCTACCTGGCAGCCGTGGCGCTGCCCGGCTGCGCGCCGGCGCTCCAGGGGCCCGTGGACCGGTACCAGCTGTGCCGAGCCGCCGCCGAGGTGGACACCGGGTACGTGGAACCACGTGCTCCGCACTGGATATAGGTAGAGAACGTGAAGTTCGGGCCGCATATTGGAAAATTGGGCAGTTTCAAGAGTTTCTACCAAAATTTTATTAGATGCGGTCTCCATTAGACTTATTTGGGTTTTCAACGCTCTGAGGTCGCCTTATTAACACCTGGAAGCAGGAAGTTATTATGTCGTGCCCATTTTCAGTAATGGCAAGCATCACCCGTCTTCATGTTTGACGCCACTCAACCCAATGAATGTGATCAAACTAATTTTTATCGTTTCATTTCCCTTTCTGCCGCAGGTGCTCCATTCTGAAGCTGTACTCTCACTCCTCAATGCCAGCCTCGTTGCTCTCCGAACTGTGCTCCGTCACCAGCGAGAGTGCCGTCAGCCTCATCGAGGCTTGCACCGCCGCCGCCCAGCGGGTCGATCACCCCTGCACGCGCCAGCTACTGCTGCAGGGCGGTCGGGCCGCCAGCGCGGCACTAGAGGCGTTCCAGGCCAGCGCCAAGCTATCAGCTTCCTCATGTGAAGATGATGACAGCATCAGCGAACATACCGACGGGGAGAGGAACGGTAACCTCTCTGTCAGCCAGACTACCAACGCCGGCGGTCCGCCAGCCTGCCACCTCTTCGCCGAGAGTCTGGTGGCCGCCTGCAACTCCCTGGTGGTGTTTGCCACCCAGGACAGCTCCCTGACCGGCCGCCCGGCGCGGCTGACCGAGCCGGCCCGTGACGCCCTGCACGACCTCTTCAGCGCCTGCATGAGTATTGTGTCGCCGTGTGTGCTGGTGTGTTCACTGGTGCGCCGACTGGCCACCGAGGGGGAGAGGAAGCCAGGAGCGACCCGGCTCCGGGTTCAGCAGTGCCAGGCGGTTATAATGAAGGCGTCAGTGCAGCTGTCACAGGCGCTGGGAGTGCCCGGCTACGAGATGTGACCGCTAGAGTGTGACAGGAACCGGCGCGCAAGGCGAAAGGCATACTAATTTGGTAACTATGCATTCTGCTGGATTATCGACAGTATTGTCGGGGCGGGTCCAATGCCTATTTTACAAATATGTACTCTTGCATTTATGTGTGAAGCGATGATACACTCATAATTTTCTGAAAAGGCTACTCTAACATACATAGCAACGTTGCACTTGTGTAAACGATAACGATAAATGCGTTTACCTAAAGAGGATTACCCAGAGGCCAGAGGTGTTCGATACATGAACCGGTCATATTGACATATCAGTGTCAGTGCATGGTGTTCACATTCCAGGGGCCCAGGGCTCTGGACAGAAAAATACCCGATCTGCGATGGAAGGTAGTTTACCAGCTCTCTGGAGACGGTTCGGTCTACGGCTGGATTCGTGCCGGACTGAACCGGAACGGAATACAAACGTTAACAGTCGGAATAAAGGCGATGCTGGTCACTGAAATGCGACGTTTGTTGTCCATGCTCTATCCTGACTGACTTTAAACATACCTACCTAAACGAAGAAACTGCTACCTCCTTTTACTTTTCTTCTGTTCTGTCCCTTTTAGTATGGAATGAAGTGCACTTGATTTATCCAATCCAACTTATTTGTAACGATAAAGTTTCGCATCAGCCAATCACCAATGGTAGCATATTAGAGCTGCCATCCGCCAGTCGAGTTGTATTTTTGCACTGCAGTTTCAAGGGCATCGTTGCATTCCTTTCTCTTCGGATAACGATTGCTCTGAAGTATCTGATATGACCTTTCGTCCAACAACGCTAGGAGCAGATCCCGCCAGACACGCACACATCCACCGCGCCAGGCCAGTCACCGTTCCAGTGACCGAATTTCCCAGCGGCCATGATCTATGAACCTCAGTATTTTATCCTGTAATAACATCCGCCGTCATAAGAAGTGTCTGCCGGGTCCGCCTCCCACCAGCCGCCGGGCTGGGAGAGCCGTAAACCACCCTGACTCAGATGGCAGCAACGCGACGGCGCGGCGGCACATTCAATCACGGGGTGTTGTTGGAATCTGTCTGAGCACTCGTTGTCACTTAGATCAGCGCCAGAATGTAAACATTTTAGTCACCCTGGGAGGGCCAGCGGCTCCCAAACCAGAGCAATCTGACCGTATTTGGGTGGACTGGTCATACAGCCGCGGGGCGTTATGGGTTGAGGTGAGCTGGATAGTTGGCGAGAAATACGCCAATCAAATTGAAGCGGCTTGGCCGTTACTTGTGAGGAATGTGCAGTGGGAACTGACATGAATACACGATAAACGGGACATGTGATGTGCTTATGGGGTGGTCAGCCTTCGAATGCCGATGATGAAACTATTATTATTTTTATAATTGCAACTGTTCAAGTTGCACAGAAAAATTGGTTTACTTATATCCGTCAGTTTGCCAGGTTTCCCAGACAGGAAAGAGTCGTGTTATGTGCTTATGCTGCCGTGATGTGTCAGTGATGTGCCTTCTGACGTTGGACCCACCTGTAGAAGACGTCGCCGGCGCCCCTCGTGTCCACGTCAGAGTACAGAGGCGCAATCAGCGGGTAGTCCAGAGGAAACGGCACGTTGTAAAAGTTCGGCAGCTCCGTCATAAAGGACAGCAAGCCGTTGCTGTTTATCTGAAAACGAAACCAACAGAAATGTTACAGCAGAGCTATAGTTGTATGTCATCTTGCTTTCATCCATTGTCATACACCATTGGTTCCCAACATACTCTCCGATGCTTCCATACTTTATCCCCAGCGCAAGGCAATCGGCGTTCATGCTCATGTTATTTATTCGGCACAACTTGATTTAAACAAACATGAAACACCTAATGAATTGCAGCACGTAGGGCACCGGGCACACAGGCGCTTCGCACGCGTTATATAACACTCAGTGAACACTGTCCATTTAGTACAAGACCTTCCTTACATAATTGGTCCACCCGAACCAAAATTTTCCGGACAAAAAGGGAGTTACATGTTAAAGATTTAGAAATGATGACTTTGGTCCTGATTCAGATTTCGTCATTAGTTCGCAGTGTCAATCCTAAACGCCCAAAAAGACTTCAGAACAGTACAGAGCAATACATCTGAGGAATGGACTATACCGCGTATTGGTATTGTCGCAGACCGCAGTCCTGGGTGTCTATGCTGAATTTTATCGGTGTCACGGCAGTAGACGGGATGGCGCAGTACGCCTGGAGGATAGGCTGTACCGCCGGTCCCATCTTTACCTACACCGGCACGCCTGGAAGCTAGGCTGTACCGCGATACGAGTCAATATCAGAATGAAGCGTTTCGCCTGGAGAATAGGCTGTGCCTCCGATACGACAGCCAACATCAGAATAAAGCGGTACAGCCGGCCCTGGGGTATGGGCTTTGCCCGTGTGCCGCCGATACCGCCATCAGATACGCCTGGAGGATAGACTGTGCCGTTAGAGCCAGTGATTGACCGGTAAGAGACAGAGATTGCCACTGTCAATGGCCAATGCTAACGCCGGCGTGCTTGGGTCAGCGTGCTTTTGGCATGTTAGTGCCTATTGCCAGTTCTGAAGAGGCAAAAAAATGAATCATGTTTGATATTCTCTTCTAATGCTATTGATGTTGAAGGAACCTCACCTATAAACACGTCAACATTGCAAGTGCTCTACCGCTTCTCAAGAATGAATACGAAGTTCCCACGCCGGGGAAGTCCACGTCTACTCACATACGCTCCGCTGTACTCCTGTTTGTAGAACAACAGCGGCGTGGTGAACTTGAGCGCGGGACTGGAGATCTCGTCCTTCTTGGGCAGCACATCGTCATACACCTCGGCACCGTACGGGAAAAACTCGCTCTTGGGGATCCCATGCGCACCAATCACCAACAGCAGCACCACCACGGGGGCCAGCGGGCGTCCCGGCCACAGCACACCCATCGCCGCAGCGTATCGGTCGCGCCAGCAAAGATCACCACCTCACCAGTCGCTCACCCCGGCGCACCGCTCGTGGGTCTGTTACCGAGGAGGAGAGGACGCGCGATGGGGGCTCGGTCGCGGCCCGTCTGGACTGCCGAGGTGGTCCAGCAGGACAGGCGCCGTCTGCCCGCCGGTCCGCCGCTCTCGACTGTATAAACAGAGGGCTCTACGGACGCCGCCGAGCCGCGCCGCGCCGCGCCGCCGCCGACGCGTCGCGAGGTGTATAAATAACCGGGTGTCGCCGCGTGGCGGGCCGGGCCGCCGGCGTCGGCCGCATGTCCCTTTTGCTGCCGCCCTCCAGTCCATGGAGGTGTGGCTAGCTAAGGTACCCATACCCAAGGCTGACGGCTTACATACAGCGCCTGTTGGTTGATCGAGCGCTGAAGGTTTTCAAACTACCTGGAAAATAATGAAGTCACGACTTGGGAGGATATTAAGAGGGACGGCTGAGAGGAAAAGAGAAAAGAGCAGGCGGTCGGAACTGGCGGTCCCATCTATTGTGACTTGCGGGATGTTACATGTTACTGACGGAAGACTGAGTTGTTTGATCAATTTTTGGATATGGCAGTTGGCACGTATTTCACATTTGTTTTACTTTCTCGTACCTATATTGCATACCTACAAAAAAACATGGAAAGAAATTCTTCCCGCCTCATAGTTCACTGATCACTCCTGATCCCATCTTACTATATATTTTCCGTGCTGGGCCGGCTCGTTGCCGACGGCACAGTCCCTCGATGACAGAACTGCTCTCGGCCACTCGGCGCCCACTTCCTGTCCGGCTCGTGTCGCAGCTCATCTGGTACGCAGATGTGCGTGTGCGTCGGTAGCGGTCTCTTTGATCTGGTGCCAGGGGTGCCGCCACGGTACGTCGCCGCTCGCGGCACGCGCCGCCCCTGCCTCAGGCACGCGGCGGCTCAGCAGACGTAAATAGCCCGTGGGCACGTCGGTCCTGCAGTGCCGACCGACAGGTACCGCGGTAGAGTCTGACCTTCTGACCCCGATCGGTGCCCGAGGGCTCTCTACTGACCGACGGAACACGTGCTGGTCAGATGAAAGAACTCGGAAGGCGGCAAGATGCCAGGCCAGTTCTCGAAAGCGAGGTGTTTGACAGCTCCTTAGCGGCCAGATCAAAGCCAGGCATGTTTTGTGGCTGGCAGCGCTCGACTTGGCGCCAACATCCTGTCAATTACGAGCTACAAACATCTTCGTAAATAACGTTAACTAGCTGGAATGTGCGTGGATAGAGCCATCAAACGGGTGCACAAAGCCGAGTGTTATGGGCGGTATTGGTGGATGTCATGAGGGTATTGCAGGCTAGTCAAAAACCCTTTTTTAAATAAAAATGGAATGTAAGTATTGCGACGTGGAATGATAAATATATGTCCATTTCGGCAAGGCGCTTTCGGTTTGTTTTTACCCTGAGATGATGGGATGAGAAAATATGCAAGCTGCTTCAGGAATAGTTGAACTGTCACTGGTGTGCTGCAGCGACTGGCCCGTCTTGGCTGGACAAGCGTATCCCGCTGAGACAAGCACCCATGATCGCTTAAACGGTCACATCTGGGAATGTTTCAAGTGGAACCGCCTTTCCAGTTGCGTTTCAGTCGTTTTTCCAGCCTAGGAAGTGGTGTTCATGGATGGGTATGAGTTATTTCTGACGATAAAAAGGACGGATGGGTATGCCACTTCAGCACCAGCGCTATGCCGTATCAAGACTGACGATCGTCCATGCAATCAGTAATGTATGTGGTGGTAGAGCGCAGAAGCTCCATACACATGTGGCGCCATCATACGAGAGGTGCTGGGCATAAACGGTAGGGGGCGCTTAGACCAGATGTTATCCCAAAGTGTTGCCTGATGCCAGGCTTCAGTATCGAGCCGAACTTTAGCTGTATTGGTACGCGTGTAAGTAACGCGGTGTAGGTTGTGTAGGTACAGACATGCGGAGGGTACCGTCTGATGAAAACCTTAAACGGTTTCCAATTAATACCGATAGGCGACGTTCCTTGGCCGCCCTTTGCATTTAGAATAAGACAACTTTAAACGGACTATTACCTATATGAATTCATAAATTGTTGAAAAGTGTCCGCTGCTGGTCAAGAGACAGACTTCATGTTTAAGAACCGACGAACAGCTAGTGATAACAGTGGTTATAAGTAAAGTTAAAAACTTTTTCCCTTTCCATTGGATTAGGTATCTGAGAGCAATGCCCATTTGCCTAGTGCAATAAAGAATTGTGTATGCATATGCGTAAGCATCTTTCGTCACTCATCCAATACTGACGGCCAGGCCATGATAAGCCACCTTTAGTTCATGCTTAGGTGGGCTCTGATTTCACATCCTCGAGTTTCCGCCTCTAATCTTTGTCAGACGTTCCGAGACAACATTGCCCGATATTCAGTGGCACAGTCAACGGCCCGCGTTTCTTGCTGATATCTTATACGTTGTCTGTTAAAAACGGCAGGCAAGTATCGCCCTGTCTCACCCAACCGTATTGTGCCGAGCCGAGGGAGTCATACCTGAGTGACGTCACACACAGAGTGACGTCACACGGCGTGACGTGACGCCGCCGAGAACCATATCAGCTGCGGAGCAGCGGAGCAGCGGCCCGACACACAGAGTAGAGCGATTGTCGTGTGAGGGGTGAACGGTGGGCGCGCTAACACGCAGGGTCGCAGTGAATGTGGCAGTGACAGTGCTGAGGCGCATAGAACAAGGTGGTCCAAGAAGCAGTGGGTTTGTGACTGTTGACGGAGGTGATCACGTGGAAGTCTGTGGATGGTGTGCACTGTGGAGTTTTTGAAGATATCCGCGGTTGTGCGAAGAGTGGTGACCGATTGCGCCACCCTCGTGGGAGCAGTAAGTCAGTGAGCTAATTCAGTGGACTTTCAGTCGTTTTGGAGAGATCAAGTGGCGTGGAAGACTTATTCACGCAGCGCGCCTTTATAAAAGGACCGATCGGAACCCCAACCGGCGCCATGCGTCGCTCGGCGGCGCTAATCCTCCCCCGCCTGCCGGACAAACTGGTCCGCGGACCGGCCGGTCCACCCTGCAGGACCACCGGTCCCTGTGGACGGACCACCGGTCCCTGTGAACGGACCACCGGTCCCTGTGGACGGACCCCTCCGCTCACACGGGCCGTGCTGCTCGCCGTGCCGGCCGTGCTGGCCGTGCTGTCGGCCGTGCCGGCCGTCAGCCGGGCCGACACGGAGGTGGGCGGCGTGTACTCGAGCGCTGTCCACTGGGACCGGGATCGCGGACCCTACCTGGCCAGCTCTGATGTGCTGATCCTGGCCGGAGGATCCGTGAGCATCGATGCCGGTGTGACTGTCCGATTCGTTCCCGGAACGGGGGTCACAGTCAGAGGAGGTCGACTCATTGCTGCGGTGAGTACGCAAGGAGTGGCGGATGATAGGAGTATCAGTTGTTTGACGTGTCTCAACTGATTGCCAAACCTCAAGGTGAGGCATGGTTAAATGCCGAAAGTGTTTGCCTACCCAAGTGGGTAATGTTTGTATAATATATCGCGAGCAGCTTTTGACTCTTTCGGCATTTAAATCAGAGCGAATTACAACCCTAGACTATTTTATCTATGCAAGGACGTAAGGTGTTTGCATACCCAAGTGGCTAATGTTTGTATTTTATACCGGCAAGCAGCTGTCAGCTCCTTCGGCATTTGAATCACAGTGAATTGAAACTCTGGACTGTTTTATCTAAAAGTCACATTATTGTTTCATGTGCGCATAACTGCTGGCAAACGTGCATGTGTAGCCGTCAATACCATCATTGTCAGGCATACTTCAGCCGCGTGGTGCGACCGTTGTGATTTGGATTGGCAGTCACGTCCCCTCCCCTCCCCCGCCCCCACCTGGCCTGTCGCCACTGATAACTCACTGATAACCGCTGTGCTGCTACAACGGCCTGTGGCCCGTGCTCGTGGCAGGGCGGGTGGGTGAGCTGAGCCGTGTGACTCACAGCACTCACACGGCGGGTCGGTGGGGCCTCAGTCTGATTCGGCAGCGGAATGGGGTTGGGAACTCGATTTTTTAAGAATGCATGACAATGATCAAACTATTTTCACAGAATTTATGGTGCATACCATTGCCTCATAAAATCAATAAGCTGAGAGAAATGGGGGAAGAAAGATAGGAAACTTGTTTTGAAAAGTTCTTGAAAAAAGATGCTCTTGATGCTGTTACGTCACATGTCACCTTCTGCGGTTGACAAATAATGGCGCATCTGGCGCACCACAGATTACATGTTATATCAATGGGTGAAAAATGTTGTTTGCTTCACTCTGCCATTCGCGCTGTTTTTAACTTTAAATTATGCTAAAACATTTACGGATGAAATGTTCAGTGTCAAAAAATAATGTGTCTGCCGTGTACTATATTCCCACTTAACATGAGCGCGTGATAAACATTTTATGTACCTCGAATTTTCAAATGATAAAGATGATGAATCGGAGGATGCTGAAAAGCAAAAGCTCATTCCAATATTTGGACTACTTTACGATTAAAATGTTTACATTCCTGTCATCTTATTGATCATTTATTTGTTCTTTTTTATGAAAATAACTTAAGGCGTTGAGAACCGAGGTAATTTCTATCTACCGTGCCTTAACTTACCAGCAACAGCAATCTATCTACGCCCTACGGTGGCAAGGGAGACTGTGAAAGAAGCGTAAGATGGATTCTAAACAATTCTTTTGTGATATACTGAAGGGCAAAGTGCAGAGAAGAGCGTACAAGTCCTGTTTTGTGCCAGGCTGTTGCAGTAGCACTTATGAAACTCCGAAAACGATCTTCGCTCATGTCCCGAACAACATTACCCTGAGGAGATGATCGTCTGCAATAGCAGGAAGAGCTGATGCAAGTACTTTGAAATCCACTATCAAGTCGGTGCTATTGTTGTAATGATCACTGTGAGGTGAGATATTTTGTGCAAGGGCTGAGTGTAATGCCCAGGAAATGACCTCCATTCGCCCCCTGACCGGTCAGGGTTATAAAATTTGAGTGGATGGCGGTCCGTTTGGGGTTCAGATGTCAATTGTATTTTGTTACTGTCAAACAATACATGTTATGCTGGCAGCGAATGTGTGTAACGTCGTTTTTCGAAGCAGAAGTTAGAACTGTAACGGCAGAGTGCTTGCTGGTCTCATCGTAAGTATTGTAAGTGTTGTAAGCAAAAGCATTGTCAATATTGTAAGTATTGTGAGCATTGATGTATGGTAGATATCACCTCACATGATCTCGGCTCAGATAACCCTCTCCGGTGTCCCTGTCAGTAAATGGCACCTGGATCATTACAGATAAGATAATTTGTCATAATTCTTAAAGAATTGGGTGGTTTTGACTCGTTTACTCGAGGTGCAGGTCGCATTTCAATACTTTTCCATAGGCTTGCAATGTAAAGGTCACGACTCTGACCTAACCTCAGGTCACAGATCAAAAATTCTGAGATATACAAACGACACATAATGCAGGTACTGTTTTGAAGACTTGATGAGAGGAAATAACTTCGTGAAAAACTCAAGCTCTGACGTGTTTGCAAACTTTTCTGAGGTGGGGTCAACAAACCCGCTCTGGTTACCTGACCTGACCTGACCCGGCATTTTTTTTTTTTTTTTGCTGAGATGTGCGCAATGAGCATTTAGGAAAAGTCACCAAATATGAGCTGAATGTCTCGCGGCGTTTGGCAATTGTACAAGAAAATCCTGAAAGGTCTCCCCGTCCGAAATAGGGTTAATGTGTATATGAAGAGTTGCAGATGCCAAACATACCCAGATCTAAGACTGCAGTTCCCAGCGCCGCTGCAACGTTTTTAAAACAAACATACATAGGACATACAAACATGTACATAGGATACATAGGATACATAGGATGACAGGCGAATAACCGCTCACGCAAGGAGCGGAGCTCCGCCCCGTCCAAAGTGGCCAACAAAGCAGAGACAGAGGCAGCATCACATCTTCACTGGCGGATCCAGGGGGGGGGGCCACGGGGGCCATGGCCCCCCCAAAGGCCTAAAGTGGCCTGTTTGGCCCCCCCCCAAAGCGTCAGAAAAATTGCTAAGAAAATATACCTTGATGGAGGTTTTTAGCCACTTGGTGAAGTAAAGCTTTCCACAGCATAATATGGAAGCAATATAGTAGCAGTGACGGTCAGTCATCATCATCATCATCATCATATATTTTTTGCATCACATGGGAAGTAAGTAAGAAATAGAAAACATCAGAAATCAGTGACACAAAGGATCGGTGCAGAAGCCTACCGGCTTAAATTAAAGCACCTTTCCTGAGAAAAAAAAACGAACGAAGCTAAAGTCGAGCTTGAACAAAACATACAGTACATACAACAGAAAGGAAAGAACACCACCGGATGTGTTAATGATGGATGTTATTACTGATGCGAGTGATTACTTTTTTGTTGTGCCACTGGCTGGTCTGGGGACGATGTAATTGTTGAACCGTCTTGTACTGAAGATAAATTTTTGGAACTCAGAGGCAACTCTGAGGCCGCTGCCGGTGTTTGACTGCCTGTCCCCTGACAGGCAGTCAAAAGTTGCGCGAGCGGAGTCGACCTTAAAAAAAAAGCTGTTGTTGGCACGTGTTTATGGCGCGGCAGCTGGTAGTTGGCGGTGTTTCGCGTGGTGTGGCATCACTGGCGGATCTGGGGGGGGGGGGGGGCACGGGAGCCTGAGGTGCCCCTGACAGGCCCGTGGTGCCCTTGCTAGGCCTGTGGTGCCCCTGGACCCTGGCAGGCCTGTGGGACATACCTCTGGCGGGCCTAGGGTGCCCCTGCTAGGCTGCTGATGCCCCTGGGACCTGACAGGACTGTGGTGCCCCTGACAAGCCTAAAGTGCCCCCAACAGGCCCGTGATGCCCCCGACAGGCCCAAGGTGCCCCTGCGTGATGCCGTGATGCCTGCGAGGCCGGTGGTGCCCCCTGCGAGGCCGGTGGGCCCCTGACAGGCCCATGGTGCCCCTGCTAGACCGGTGGTGCCCCTGGCAGGCCTGTGGTGCCCCTGCTAGGCCGCTGGTGCCCCTGGGCCCTGACAGGACTGTGGTGCCCCTGACAGGCCCAAGGTGCCCCTGCAAGGCCGGTGGTGCCCCTGTAAGGCCTGTGGTACCCCTGCTAGGCCTCTGGTGTCCCTGACAGGCCCATGGTGCCCCTGCGAGGCCGGCGGCGCCCCTGGCAGGTCTCTGGTGTCCCTGACAGACCTGGGGTGCCCCTGACAAGCCTGTGGGGCCCCTCACAGGCCCGTGGTGCCCTTGCTAGGCCTGTGGTGCCCCTGGCGGGCTGGTGGTGCCCCTACTAGGCCGGTGGTGCCCCTGACAGGCCTGTGGTGCCCCCGGGCACCAAGGGGGTCATGACCCATGTGGCCCCCCTTGGATCTGCCACTGATGCATAATATATTGATTTGTAAAGGCGTTATGGCTTATGCAATATGCAATTGCAGGCACTTGGTATCCCTCACTTATCCCTCATTGGGGCTCTGGCGGGCTCCTGAGGGCCCACGTCTATCTCCGGGAGCCCATATAGACAGGCTCCTTTGGGTCCTTTCAGTACACTATAGCATAAGAGGTCTCCATGCGAGTCCTATACATAGTACATACATCTGAGGGCGTACCCTGATGTCTGAGGTACCCAACTGCAGCTCCAATGGTCTCTTCTTACACTGGCGGATCCAGGGAGGGGGCATTTAGGGCCATGCCCCCTTCCCAGAGGCCTAAAGTGGCCCGTTTCCCCCCTCCCCCAAACGATAATGAAACATAGTTCAATCAGGGCGTGGCCCAGGAGCCGAGTTAGACAGGGCTCTTTTACCACCTCCCGGCCCGCAAAGGGACCCAAGCACTGACTCGAAGCGGGTTAAAGAGACCCTCCCACCTTCAAAAAAGTTAATGAATTGGCATGAAAGTGATGTCGCTAGGTTCAGAAAGGGCGAAAACGAATATCTACCAAATTTTATCGAAAAATATTCACCGGTTTTCAAGACCCAGTAAACATGACGACGTCGGCCCGACGTCGGGCCGAGGCTCGGCCCGACGTCAGTCCAGCGTCGGTTCAACCTCGGCCCGACATCGGCTGGACGTCGGATATGCCCGCATGTTCCGACGTCCAGCCGAAGTCCAGCCGACGTCGAGCCGACGTCGGGCCGAGATCGTTTGCCGAGGTTGACGAGATCGTTTGTCGTTGGACCGACGGGGCCGACGTCGGCATGTTTATTGGGACAACGCGCCAAAAATATCAACCGGCGGCGGGATTCGAGCCCCCCAGTTGCCGACGTCGGCATGTTTACTGGGACAACACGCCAAAAGCATCAGCCGGCGACGGGATTCGAACCCCGTGTCATTCGAACGCGAGGCTAGCGCGCTAACCACTACACCACGCAGCCAGATAACGAATTCTGTTTGTTTTGTTGGGTTATGCCCTTTCGGTCTGACAAGACCATTTCAGAGCCGGAAGGATCCTAGGATGGAGACATTGGTCTTCTTGGCGAGCACCCTGGGTCCAGTTCATATAGAGTCCCTGGTCCCATTGCTGTTACGTGACACTTTTTGGAAAGGGCGACCCCACAATGGATTCATATAGCCACTCTTACACACCTGCACCAACGTTTCCCAAAGCGTCCCTTTGATAAGTGGCACTTTGGCAAAGTGACACTTGCCGACTGGCCTTTCTATATGAACTGGGCCCGGCCCTGGTGAGTTGCCGGGGCTGAGCCTGACCAAAGGATAGGCCGAGCAGCCCCCAAGCACTCACCGCACCCGGCTACGGGCGAGCTCGGCTTACGGGCAATCCCAAATGGGATAAAGTTTCCCGTCCAGTCCGGATCAGGGGGTTGCGGCGTGGAGGAAGATTTGAGTATCCTGAGGATATTTTGAATACAGAAGCTCTTTATGAAACATGAAACATGTATTTTATATTATTTTAACGGTCAAAATAGCGGCCGATGTCGGTCCGACGTCGCCCCGACGTCGGCCCGACGTCGGCTGGACCTCAGCAATTTATCTCGGTCCGACGTCGGCCCGACGTCGGCTGGACCTCGGCTGGACGTCGGAACATGCGGGCATATCCGACATCCAGCCGACGTCGTGCCGAGGTTGGACCGACGTCGGGCCGACGTCGGCATGCTGATGCCGAGTTGCCGACGTCACCCCGACGTCGGCCGACGTCGGGCCGACGTCGGCATGTTTACTGGGGAGATAATACTTTTATTTTTGTTTACTTTTTGGGATATCCGCTGCTGTTCCTAGCGACTTTATTTGAAAGTGCGGCATTTGTTGCGCGCAAAGCAGCCTATACCACCGCATGCTACCAAACGTTTTAGTAAAATATTAAAAAATCATTAGATCTCCGCTGACGTCACACATTCAGAGGGGTATCCAAAAGCATTAGCCCCTCTGAATCAAAATGCTGCAATTTTGAAATTCAATATTTCCGATTTAAGGCATTTCTCGATGTTGTGAGTGCGTGCCGAAACCGGTAATTGTGAGCCAGGGACCCCATTTTGGCTATCTCAGCTCAAATCTAATGTTAAGGTGGGAGGGTCCCTTTAACTGGTCGATAAAAACAATGGTAAGTGTTTACAAAGTAATATAAAGGCATGGGTCGGGTGGGTTACCATTTATATATTTTTCTTTTTAGTTAAAAAAAATCATAGTGTCAGGGCTGTGACGAAAAATAAGTGGCCTAAATCCGATGAGAAAACAGGATTTGGGGGTACCCTAGGTTTGGCTCCTGCATGAGTTGGCCCCCCCCCCCCCCAAAACGCAAGCCTGGATCCGCCAGTGCACATCTTCCATCAAAGAACTGGTTTCTGGCTTGGAAGATGAGCTCCATCTTTGCATCCGAGTCGGTGCTGTCAGGAATCAGCTGGTCTAATGGAGTGAGAGTAGTGAGACGACTAGCTATTGTATCAGAGCTGCCTGGTCTTCGTAGCATTTGCACCGATTCTTCTCGATCGGACTCTGAATTCTGTTCCTCCTGCGTATTACTTGAGGCATTGCTATGTAGCTAAGTCTTTGGCAGAGTTTCATTATCCATACTTTGCAAACAGTGCCATAACAACACAGTTAATTAATCACCAAGCTTCTTTGCAAGTTCCAATACAGTTGAATCGCACGCGATTTGAGTGCAAAAATCAAGAAAAGTGCCAACTTGTTCCCGTAAAATATTTTGAATATTGACCTAAAAAAATGAGTAATTTCCAGATAAAATAGCAGCGAAATCAGTTTTCGCTTGCCAATAAAACTCACAGATATTGAAGCTCCATTATTAAAGGAACATTTTAGTATATGCCATTCTTGATAAAACTTCTTAGCCACGCAATACCAGCGCAAAATAAAGAGACACTGAAAACACGACCAATCACTCCGATTTACCATAGGAAAATACATAGAAAATGTATGTCTCAACTGCGCCATATATACAGACAGTTATATACCTACATGTGACGTCATGATTAGCCCGACCAATCAGAAGCAAGTTGTTTTCAGCCACAAATAATTAATTTCTGAACTAACTAGGCATTTTTTTAACAAAGTGATTTTAAATTAAATCATTAAAAATTCTGAGCTTTTTTATTTCACCAAAACATACAGAGCATGCAGATAGGTCCCAACCCTATTCGACTCGGACACTGCACTGTGGCGTAGATCAGTGATGATATAATGCTGTGGATCGCTGACAGGCCAGTGGCTTAGCTCACCGTCAACAGAACTTACATTAGTCACGTCTTCGCACGCCACACCGCACTGATTTGTTTTTGAACAGCGAAAGTAAGCGTTTACTTTGATTTCTGGCTCTTTGATACTGGGAACGGGCCAAGCTGCTTGGCCAATGCAACGATGCGACATTTGGATCTGGAATTACGGCACTAAAACAGGAACGTCTACCAAAATACAAAGTTTTCTGATCGTAGCCACTACCGCATTTCGACAAACGCTCTTGTAAACTTCAAGCGTTTTTTCAATGCCGTAATTGCTGAGCAGCACGTGGTGTGGGGTTGCGGCTGAAGGGGACAGGGGAAGGAGTGAGTCGGACCCATTCACGGCCCCACCGTGACGCCGGGGTGACGTTGTGACGGTGGCGGTGTGACGGTGTGGCGGTGCCGTCACGTCTGAGGGCGCGACTGACTCAGACTCGGGCCGACAATCTGGCCCGTGTGTTCCGCCAGGCCCGCCCCCATACCGAGTCACGCAGGGTGCCTCGGCGGAAGTCACCGCGGTTCCACCCGGCGTAACCGAATGGATGATACAATACCATGGACTCGGCTACCATGAATTGGCTTCTGTTTAAATTGTTGTTAGCTGTACAGAAAGATTCGAACCCATGACTTTGCAAGCGTGTCTGAAGCAGGAATGCAAGCAAACAGGGACTCCTAGTTGCGACGATGGTTGATGCAGCTCGGAAAGTTTCGAAGTATACAGTTGAAACTTCGATGGATAAGCTCAAGTGGTGGAAAATGAAACGAGTTCTTGAATTTTGAAGCCGAAGAATGTGCAATTACATGATGTTTTGTTATTGGAGTTTTTGAGCCTCAAGAGCCACTAATCATCAATTGAAGACGGCCAGACAGGTGACTGCGGCGGTGACGGCGGTGACGGTGGCGTCGTCGTCACGGTGTGCCGGTCACGGCCGCAGGGTCACGCCGACCGTAACGAAAACAGCCGTCACAGCCGAGCCGCGCACGTGGCCGGCTCGCGCCGCGTCACATTGACCGTCACAGCGTTACACTGGCCGTTACACCGTCTCACTGGCTGTGACAGACTGCCCGTTACTGCATCACACTGGCTGTCACAGTGTTACACTGACCGTTACTGCGTTACAGCACTTGCAGCGTCACGAAGATCTTCACAGTGCTACTGCTGTTGTAACAGAGGACAGATTAATTATTATTCGAGCCAGGTATGAGAGAGAGACAGAAGACAGATAAGTTATTATATGACCCAGGTATGCATGCATTGTCACATTAACGGGTATTTAGGGATTGTAGTAAGAATTAATGTTAATCTGGTTCTCATAACTATAGGAAGCTAAAAACAAATCCACATCCTTTAGTTATGAACAAAAGGCTATCATTAATTCTAACTACAATTATAGGTAATTAAAATCATGCTAAAAACGTTTTAAACCATTGTAACGACTAACGAGCACCTAATGTAATTTTCAAAGTCTTTTTGTTGACCAATGGTAGCTGCATGACTGACACACGTGTAACACAATCTGGGGGTTGAATTAGTCTCTGTACTCCAAGTTTGATACGGTTATCGGCTCTTTGTTTGTAGGCTCAATCGCTTGCTGGCCATGTCTAGGGTTATGATTCAATCGCATTTTACCTTTAAAAGATTACTGTGCGATATGTGTAACTGTTCCAAGACGTACTCAAGAGATATGTAGCTTTAAACGGCTGCAAACATTAGTATGCAAATATACGGGACTTATTCATCCTTCAGGGGCCTCTGAAGGTGAAGTTACATGACACACAATCCAAACACAATGGTTGGCTGTCCCGCAGTGCAAGCGCGCCTCGCCACTTAGACTGTCCCGCAAGACACAGCCAGTAATACTAACACGTGTATTGGCACGACACAGCTAACACGTGTGTGACTCAAACGCGTAATAGATGGCTGCACACATTTTGAATAATATGAACGACATTCCGTATAAAGCATGCACTTCCGAGCGTTATCAGTCCGTCTTGGTTCGACCGGTACAAGCGATTGAAAGCATGAGAAGTAGGTATAACGTCACGTCATAAACCACGTTCCTAATATTTAGCGTCTTTCATCTGCTGTACTTGCGACTGATTCAAACAGCTATAAAGCAATCGTATCGTGTCCTCTGCCTATATGTAGCTAATTAGGTGCCTCATGACCTCCCCTAAATGCACGCTGTGGGCGTTATGTTCTCCCGTTCCAGGGCGGCAGCCGGGATCGGATCGTTCTGACCACGGCCGAGCCGTCCGTCGGTCCCCTGCCGCACCCCTCCCTGCGACTGGTGGACGGGCCGACACCGTGGGAGGGCCGGGTGCAGATCTTCCACCGACACCACTGGCGATCCGTCTGCACCAACTCCAGAAAGTGAGAATGAAGCTGAACGAGTACCATTGATGCATGCATTATTGTGATTTAATTTACCTGCAATTCAACATTCCCCAGCGATTGTAGATGTCAACAGCGCCACATGTTCCAATTATGTGCTCATTATGGCTGCAATGGGTATCAATGCACTATCTGCGATCGCTCCACGGTATTTGCACTGTTCAACAGACGTTGCGGGCGTTGCAGGTAGCGACCGTAACTGCTGTGAGGTAATATATCCGGTCTGAGCGGCGTGCCAACTGCCAGCAACCATGAACGACCTCTCCCAACCGTGACTGCGTTCACTTTCTGCAGCTGGACGGAGGCGGACCGAGGGGTGGCCTGCTCACAGCTGGGCTTCTCCGGTGGCGAGTACGCCGACTGGTACCCGTGGCTGAACGGTACCCGCCGCCTGCTGTACCCCAAACCGGACTGTACCGGGACAGAGCGCCGCCTGCAGGACTGCAACTGGCAGTACCGCGCCATGGGGGCCGGCGTCTGTGGTGAGGCTCAATAGATCGTGGCAGAAGTTTAACGCCCTGCCTTTTGTCCTTGCCTGCTTATTATTTTTTCATAGTCCGTCTCCGTTGCGTAAAATTATGAGACTCTTCCGAATGCCCTTCACTGACATCAGCTGCAGCATGCAATTCTTCGTTCTATTGGTTTTCTTGATTCCGATACATTTACGCGAAGGCCCAACTTTCCTCAAGGTCGCGTCCCGTCTCTCAGCTGATCCTTGTGCTTTACCCGCAGACGAGCACGCCGACCTGGCCATCCGCTGTGAGCCCGTGTTGGGGGCCGGCCGGCCTCTGACCCACTGGCGGGGCCTGAGGTTCGAGCATGCCTCCTACGTCAAAATGCTCACCGCCGGAGACACCCTCTACGAAAAGTTTTCCAATTCGAAGCTCTACCATGTGGATGTGCTGCACGCCGGCATGGGACCCAATAAAGAGGTAGCGTGCGATACCATACCCATGAAGTGGCATTGAATGAAATGCAAAGTCCTTGCCTTCCTACTAGGCCCACAGCCCTACTTACCGTGAAACGAAGTTTTCATACTGTTAGCATTCAGCAATCATTGTAGTGCCGAGTCACTTTGCCGAACTTAATTTGCCGAACTTAATGCTGTTTGCCGAATTTCGCGACTATGAACCACAAAGAAAGTTGTATCAGTAATGTTTGTCCATCTCGCTCCCAGGTTCAGGCGGCCATTGAGAGTGTGGGCGTGCCTCCTCGGATGTACTCGCTGACGGTGAGGGACTCGGTCTCCGGCGGCATTAACGTCACCCAGCCCGACTCCCTGGTGGCCATCAACAACTGCACCGTCAGCGACAACGCCGGTCAGTGGATGAAGTGTCAGCAAGGGTCTACCGTCTATGGGAGGCGAGGAATTCGCGCACTAAAGGGTTTTGGTGACGGGATGGCTCATCACAGTGTCTGCTTCCCTGATTAATTACGCACTTCGAGAAAGTTCACTTGACATATTAAAGTTCGACATATTTCGTATCCAATGTCATTGTATGTTGTTCAAAGTCATGAACAAAGTCATGAACAGCAGCGATCTTCTTTAACACTTGTCAGGCATCGGCATGTACTTCAACACGTCCACGGGCCTGGTGCACGTGCACGACTGTGACGTGCACGGTAACGGCGCCGACGGCCTGAAGCTGGTGCAGCACGAGCTGCAGATCCCGCGCCGGGAGGTGGACGGCGCGCCGGTCTCGGATTTTTGCAGCTCGGGTACCACGCTGGAGTCGGTGTACCCCATCTTCACGGCGGCTCAACAGTACCGCACCAGCTACCTCTCCAAACGGTGTCAGAAGGTGAGAGAGAGTCACAGAAATGTCGCCTCTAAAGCTTGGGTATGTTCAGGTAACTCCGATAGCTACGGTACTCGGAGTAACTGCTGTGATAGCTACGGTATTCGGGTCGATATCGTTTTGTTGGTCTTACAGACTTCGGTGTGATAATGTCGTCTTAATGAGACACGGTGTGATGCGGACCTTAATCTCTTGAAGCTGCCGCAACTAGTGCATTTCGTCTAAAAGCTGTCACCCACCCTCTTATCGACAACCAAAATATTATCATCTGTGCTGTCGCCAGCGTCACTTTACCGTCTGATTTCTGTGACCTACTGCAGACGTTCCGCTGCCGGCCCGGCCTGGTGATGACGGTCAACTTCCTCTACCTGGCCAACGACATCGACGACTCTGCCACGCTGAGCTTCTACGACGGCACGGCCGTGACCTCGCCGCTGCTGGGCACCTTCCAGGTCAGTCCCGGAACGTTCCGCACCACACGCAGAAAAATATTAACACCGTTAGCGGTGTAATTGCACAGTACATATCTGAGCACTTGAGGAAAGTTAATTTAGTCCCTTCCCCGCTTAAATTACTCGCGCTTCCAAATGAACACCAGGAAGAAGGTAATAGAACACTGTTAGGAGGGTTGGGTGTTTTACTACATGTAGCAAAACACCCAACCCTCCTAACAGTGTTCTATTACCTTCTTCCTGGTGTTCATTTGGAAGCGCGAGTAATTTAAGCGGGGAAGGGACTAAATTAACTTTTCTCAAGTGCTCAGATATGTACTGTGCAATTACACCGCTAACGGTGTCAATATTTTTCTGTGTGCACATTCTCTACGACAGTCGGGTGTTCTTAACGGTGTGTGATTGCTTTGTTCGTTTTTAGATTCGGATCAAATCTACCTGGAGGGCATGATGTATCCGGTTTGTTTTTACTGAAAGGACATTGCTTTGTCATGTGTTTTTACAAAAGTATGGCAGTGAAGTAACTCATCATGAGACACATTTGTAATATGGCACCAGTCTTACCCTCTGAGTGGTCTCGACAGATCCGTAACGGCACCCGACCTCAGAGCGTGGTCACCACGAGGAACAATCTGCTGGTGACGTTCAGCGCCCGGAACGAGACGCAGACCGAGGTCCTGATGGCCATCACCGCCGGCGACGGTACGCTGCGTCTGCCGGCTCTGTTGTTCACTTCCTGAACGCTATTGGGAGCGTTACCTCTTGAACTGGTTTCTTCTTCAAAAATAAAAGCTTTTAGCTAGAATAAATAGAAAATTGCCGTTATATTGTGCTATTATCTGGGTCGCAATACCTCATCACTGCTCTCTGGGGGACAACATATAGACAGATAAAAGAGTGACAATGATGGCCAGAGATGGTGCGCTTTGTTTGTTTGTATAGCAAGTTGATCAATGATCAGTGGTCATTGCTATAAAGATTATCTGGAATTAACGCTCCTTAATATCGTCTCTCCCGCAGGAAAGGCACACGATCTGAACGTCTCCAGCTCCGTCATCGCCAACAACAACGGCCGTGGCATCGCCATCGAGAATATCCGCTCCTTGGTGCACATCCACCGCACGATCGTGGCCAACAACTCGCACGTGGCCGGCGTGCACGTGCTGGGAGGCGCCGGTGACGTCAACATCACGCGGTCGCACATCAGCGGAAACCTGGGCGATGGAGTGAACGTAACGTACGCGGGCGGAAACCAGAACATCTCGTGGTGCGACATCCGCGCCAACTCGGGACGTGGCGTGTCCGTCTGGTTCAACGAGACCCGCGAACGGGTGGCGTTCGCTCAGGAGCTGGTCCTGTCGTACTCAAACATCTCTGCCAATCTGCAGCAGGGCCTGTTTGTCGGTAACTACTGCCGCTCTGCCTTCGTCAACGTCAGTGGAAATGTGTTCTGGAATGGCAAGGGGGACGCCGTGGACATCTGGTCCTGCTGGAACGAGACCTACGATCCGTTGAAGCTCCAGATCGGTCACAACCGCTTCATTGCCAACGAGAAGCTTGCCATCAACATGGCCCCGGTCGCCAACATGGTCGGAACTATCGAACATAACTTCTTCTTTGAGCAGCGGAAGGCCACGATGCGTATTTTCAGCGGAGACGCACCGGAGGTGGAACTTCTCCCAGTGCGGCTGAAAATCTCCGACAACTACTTTGAAAGGAATCGTGGAATCTACGTCGTCAGCATTGGAGCATCTCAGTTTGTTCGCTCATCTCGACAGAACATCCTCTTCACTCGTAACTTCCTGCTGCGAAATACTGTAGCCGAGCCTTTCCCGAGCCTGAACCCACGTAACCGTGTATCCGCAGTCGTCACCGTTTCGTCGGCCTCAGCGATTGTCTATCGAAACATCCTGCAGAACCCTGGCTCTCGCTACGAGCTCGGTGTTCACTTTGAGGATCAGAGCTCCAACGCCAACGCCTCCCACAACTGGTTTGGCTACAAACGCTCCACAGACGTGTACGACCGCATCTTCGACCGCAAGGACCGCTACAACTTGGCCAGGGCAGACTTTGAGCCATTCTTGCTGAGCGAAAACGATCCGGACTCGTCTCTGCTGTCTCTGAACGAGCAGTTTGTGCCGAGTTTTGGGCCGAACGAGCAGGGAGAGATCGGCGGCGAGATCGACGGCCAGGTGGTGCTGCCTGAGGGCACTCTGAAGGTCACACGGGACATCTTCGTCCGTCCCACAGGACGACTGACCATAGCGTTTGGTGTTCGCCTGCTCTTCCCGCATAGCGTCGGTAAGTTCTTAGCCTGAAGCATACGGCAACTATTAAATGGCAGATACCTATTGGATTATTTTACTCGTGTTCGTTTTGTAAGTTGTCAGTCATTCTTGTCTGTTGCACTGTAGCAGGCGGCAATGCTTTCAAATCCGTATCTTGTTACTAAAAAAAGTCATGATCCTCGTTTCATTGTTGAGCTGAAGGAGTGTTTCGATGTTCATGTCCTATCGGTATTTGTCTCCTTGAACGCTGATATCTCACCCACTCTTAAGGCCGCCCCACACTGGACCTCGCATGCGGGTTGCGAGTTTGCGGGTTTTGAGTTTGCGGGCATAATACTAATTCATAGAGTGATAAGACCGTTCCCATATGGTAACTTCATGAATGCAGTGAAGCCGGTACACCTTCAGAAAATTATATATAGTCGCAATACCAGCGCAACGAACCAAAATTCGACTCCAACTCCTAAAACCCGCAAACCTCGCAGAACACGCAGACCTCGCAGCGAGGAAAATCGAAAGTTGACTCAAAATCAACTTTTGGAATGCGATGCAAGGTGGCTCACAACCTAAAAACATGCAGACTCGCTTGTTATATAGTAGTGTGGGTCACTCAGCTTAGATTGTATTATTTAATTTTGAAGAAACCCGAAAACCCAAAAACTCGCAACCCGCATGCGAGGTCCAGTGTGGGGCGGCCTTTATTCACGAATCTCGATCTCCCAGGCATGATGGTGGCCGGGCACCTCCACGCTGAGGGCTCCTCACTGGCAGAGGAGAAGCGCATCACCTTCGGCCTGCAGGAGCGCGGCATCCGCAGCAACGTCAGCCTGGCGCCGGTCCGGCTGGTCGGCGGCAAGACGGATCGTGAGGGACGACTCCAGGTACGGAATGGGACACGACCGTGCAGTCACAGTGGCTTGTAGAGCTTGTGCGAGGCAAGCCCGGTGTGCTTGTATGTCATCGAATCTAGGGAGTATATTTTCATGGCGTGCGACTATTTAACGTTTTTACCTTCAGTACTTTTGTGTCTTTAACAGAAGGCGAGCAGCAGGAGTATCATGGCTAGTGGCTACCCGATCCACTGGACAGAAAATCTCTACTACTCTCAGGGCACTCATCTTACGCACGTATGAATTAGATCTGTAGGTAAATCGTGGCTCACTCCGACATCCATCACGCAGGTGCTGATCGGTAACGAGTGGGGCACGGTGTGTGACCACGGCTGGAGCCGCCTGCCGGCCTCGCTGGCCTGCCAGCAGCTCGGCTGGGTGCTCAACCCCGCCGACTGGACCGTCGATCCGCACGACCTGCCGCCCGACGACAACCTCGACACCCGAGTCCTCATGAGGTGAGCGAGAGTCAGCCGCGGCTTCGCGAACTCTTTTTAATATGGATAGCTTGAGTCTAGAGGTTATAGTGGAAGGTATAGAGGATACATGTTACATGTCTCCCAAGGTTTCGTTAGAATAGTTTTATGCATGTGCGAAAAACAACACCTAAGAATAGCAATCCAGTCGATTATCTGACCTTTGTTGCAGCTTTTGTGACCTCTGACGTTTGATGACAGCGGTTTTCCGACATTGCATTGTGTCTACCTGGCCCACAGTTCGGTCCAGTGCTCCCCGACGGACACTGACCTGACCCGATGTCAGTTTGAGGGCGCCGATGACATCGAGAACACCTGCTCCCACCAGCGTGACGTCACTCTCCGCTGCTATGACGTCACGTGGGCGGGCGTTCGGTTCGGGGTGCCCTCGAAGAAGAACATCCTAAAGAATGTTCAGATGGAGAGGGCGGGACTGGTAGACTACTCCACCTATACATTTGGGCCCGGTGAGTGATAACTGACCGCATAATGACCTATCGCAAGAGTGCATCGGATGACGGTTCCTAGCATTTACCTTTTGGGGGTTGATGATAAATTATCAATTTATTATACCTAATCGTAGTCCATATAACTAACATAATGTGCTAGCAGGAAAATGTTGTAAGTAACGTTATATAAGTAAATAATTTATTGTCAACTGCTAAAAGTGCGGCGGTGGCTCATTATGAACCGCGCGCGCACGATGTAGGAAAATGTGTGCCGACTGAAAGTTTGGGTCGGCTGGTTTTGTCGGTCTCGAGAGTCTCCAGCGCTAGATATGGCTTGGAATTTGGTTTAGTTCTTGGTTGGTTGGTTGGTTGCGGACCCACGGACTGGGCCACTGCCCAGTAAGTGGTTCGTTGTTTGGAATTCTTTCATGTTTGCTTCATGTAGTTTGCATGAGACTTACGCCAACCTAATAACAGATATGTGGCCGAAAATATTGTGTTCATTTTTAATTAAATACTGAGTTAGAGTACTTCGTTTGTCATGTGACATCCGTGGCGGGTCGAAGACGAGATTTGGCGCTCACTTTCAACCTGGTTGTCTGATCTTGCAAGCCCCTTTTATCGACTATCTTGATCACTGCGCTGCTGTGCAAGGTATTTTCTTTCATGGGCCGGGAGAAAAGCATCGCTGGACGACAATTTCGTATTAAATGACTATGTTAATGATGTTCTCTTTTATATCATTTTTGAAGCACGCAAGCAAATCTCATGCTGTTTTGAATTTCAAGAACGTGACGTTTTGAGCTAGACACCTTAGATTATTCGGAACATGTCTCGATCACCCAACAGTACTTCAAAACTGAGGAGTTCGATGCATGAAAACATTCGATAAAATGAATCTGACTTTCTGCCTGCACTGCTATTAGCGTTATGAGCGACGAAACACTTATCTCACCAGAGGATGGACGCGCAACAATGGGTGGAAGCACACCTCGCTGTTGCAAGTGCGTATCTAACCCGTGTAGAACCTGCCGCTGCGTGAAACTGGGAAGACGGTGTGCCACCTGTCGATTCGGAGACAACTGTCCGAATTCAGTACCGAAGCTCACACAATTATGCGACATTGCTACAGAAATCGCTACTTTGAAGCAAAACAGTCGGGTTCTACCGCACATCCCAAAAGGAGCGCGTATCGCGGTAGCAGACGAGCTTGCTCACCTTATCAACGACGCTGTCGAACAGGGCACTGAGGAAGCGTGGCGCAGGCTCACGTGCTTTGGATACTCTACGCTCAGTATCAACAGAGAAGCGCGAACAGCAGACAAGACCTCTTTGGCCACACAAGTGCGCCTAAACCTATCACAGAAAAGTGACACCAACAAGGTCCGTCCTTCCAAACCATCCAAACGCTCACATGCACATCGCCCGGTGGGCGAGATGACAGCGATGTCACGACGCGTGGCCTCAAAACTGACGGACGGCGATACCCGGGGAGCGCTACGAGCTCTGACCTCAGATGACTCCTTCGCATCTCCAACAGAAGAAGTCATCAAAAGGATGCAAGAAAAGCACCCAGAACCGCCCACTGACCTGCGAAACGTTCCGCCACCTGACGACATCCACGTGCCGTTAGTGGCTTCCGAGGCCGACGTTTTGAAGGCGATCAACTCCTTTCCGCCGAGCTCCAGTGCAGGTTTGGATGGGATTCGCCCCGCCCACCTGCGCTCCCTCCTCACTAAACACACCGCCGAGGCTGGAGCTCGCCTACTCACAGCTCTGACAGCGCTCACGAACTTGGCGCTCAGCGGCCGTCTTCCGGAATGCGCAACACCAGCTTTCTTTGGCGCGTCGCTGATTGCCCTTCGAAAGAAGGACGGCGGCCTGCGTCCCATCGCTGTCGGCAGTGTGTATCGCCGAATCACAGGCAAGGTCGCCGCCACGGCCGTCTCGGCGGCCATCGGAGCTCAGCTGCGACCAGTACAGCTTGGTGTGGCCACGAGGAACGGCTGCGAGGCGGCAGTACACGCCACCAGAGCATACATCGACGAATGCGAAGCGTCCGAAAACAGCAGAGTTATCGTGAAGCTGGACATCTCCAATGCCTTCAACACCGTGCGCAGAGATGCGATGCTGGAAGCTGTGAAAACTCGTGCGCCAGAGATATACCCGTTTGTATGGCAGGGCTACAACAACGCCGCGCCACTTTTCATCGGCGACAGTAAAATCCTTTCTCAGACAGGAGTCCAGCAAGGCGATCCGCTGAGCTCCCTGCTGTTCTCTCTGACAGTGGATTCTGCCACCAGGGCTCCAGACACAGAAATAAACACCTGGTACCTGGATGATGGAACGCTGGCTGGCCCACCATCTGACGTCATCTCCAGTATCAAACAAGTGAAGGCAGAAATGAGCGAAGTGGGGCTCGCCATAAACGCAGGCAAGTGTGAAGTCACCTTCCTGGGAGGCTTCACCGACGATACCAAGCTCAGCGCCCTGCACATGCTGCAAAGTGTTCTTCCCGACATCCGGGAAGTCCCCGTGGATGAGTTAGAGCTGCTTGGTGCGCCTGTACATGACGCTCAAACAAGACGTGCGCTTCTACAAGGCCAGCTCCTGGTAGAGAAGCTTATCAAGCGCCTTCAGGCTCTGGACGAGGCACATCAGGCGTTCTTCCTACTGAAGAACTACGTGTCCCTTCCTCGCCTGTTGTACCTTCTTCGAAGCTCTCCAGCCTACCGCCACCCCGCCCTGCTCAACAGGATTGACGAAGCAGTTCGCCGTGGCATGGAAGTGATCACAAACGTCCAACTGCGTGACATTTCATGGCGACAAGCGACATTGCCAATCAGCCTTGGTGGGCTAGGCGTAAGGAGAGTAACAGACGTTGCCCTTCCTGCTCACCTCGCATCTCAAATAGCATCCGCTGACACGATCGCATCCATTAACGGCTCCGCCGCTAATCGCGTCAGTGAGCTAACGAGGTGCTTGATCTCAGAGTGGGAGCGTCGCACAGGCTTGCCTCCACCGGAAGCGCACAGGCGGCGCTACCAAAGAGAATGGGATCGAGCTGAGACAGCAAGAATCAGTGAACGGCTGCTGGAAGACAGCAAAACCGATGTTGACCGAGCCCGACTCCGAGCTGCCGCACAACCACACTCTGGTGCCTGGCTGAACGCCTTCCCAGCCGCCAGCGTGGGCACGCTGCTCGACCCTGACACCCTGCGGACGGCCGTCGCCCTGCGGGTGGGAGCAGATATATGTGCTCCTCACCGCTGCCGCTGTGGAGCCGACATTGACGAGCGAGGCCTGCACTGCCTGTGCTGCCAGATGAGTGCTGGCCGGTTCCCACGCCATGCGGAACTCAACAGCGTCATCAAGCGTGGACTATCAACCGCTGGAATGACGTCTGTTCTCGAGCCGGCCGGCTTAGACCGCGGAGACGGACGTCGCCCTGACGGCATGACGACCTTCCCCTATGCAGAAGGGAAGTGCCTCGTCTGGGACGCTACCTGCGTCGACACGTTCAGCGCTTCGTCAGTCAAGGCATCCGCGGCCCGTGCGAGCTCAGCTGCAACCGTCGCCGAGAGGCGTAAGCGCCATCGCTATGCCGACATAAGTCGACGCTATCTGTTCCGCCCTGTCGCCGTAGAGACATCCGGAGCGCTCGGCCCGGACAGTTACTCCTTCTTGAAGGAGCTCGGCCGCCGTATTGTGAAGACCACAGGAGACCGACGGGACTTTGAACGCCTCATGCAGCGCGTGTCTGTGGCGGTGGTGCGCGGCAACGCCACAGCCGTTCGACTTGCGAGCGTCAATGTAAGGCCGAGTCACAGAGCCAACATTGAGCCAAAAGCACTTCCATGGCCACCCACAAACTCAACTGGCACCGAAGCAAAGCTCCCACCGGAGCTACCAACCACCACGTCTCCTACGACCAGACCAGCAGAACAGGAGATACTGGATCCATTGAACATGGGACTTCCCAACAATGGTATAAGCATGTGCCAGCACGTGGGCAAGAGCGTCAGTCTGGTTGACATTAAGCGGCAGCTGAAGTCGAACCGGCGGATCGGCGCCTGCGACAAGAAGGTGCCGACCCCGTGCACGGCACCCGCGGATGGGGAAGAGCGGCCGGTGCCGTCGGGCGCGCAGCTGCCGCACGGCGTCTGGCTGTGCATGCAGTGCGGCCACCAGGGTTGCGCGAGGCACGCCACGCAGCACTTTAACACGCCGCGCTCCGACTCGCACACGCTGGCCGTCAATGCCGCCGCCGACTGGGGCGTCTGGTGTTTCACATGTAACGAGAAAGTGTCACTGAAGAGTAATAAGAAACTTCACGAAGCTGTGCAGTTTGTCAAGAAAAAGCAGGGAACTCTACGTCCCGGGGCCACGCCATCCAAGGAGGACACTCCGCCTCCCAAGTCTTCCAAGGGCGCCTCCGCTAAGGAGAAACAGGCTCAAGCGGACTGTGATAACGAGTCACTTCCGAAGGTCAAGGGTCTGATCAACCTGGGCAACTCGTGTTACCTGAACTCGGTGCTGCAGTGTCTGAGCCAGTGCCACTACCTGACGCACTACCTAGACATCAGCAGCCGCCCAGGACGAAAGGTCACAGTCAGCGCTGACGGCGAGACCATGGAGCTGGTGCTGCCGGAGGGCGGGCCCATCACCGCCTCGCTGTGCGACTTTCTCAAGAAGATGCATATCACGGGCACCGGCTCCACCGTCTCCCCCAGTCATCTGCTCAGAAAGATCGCCCTGAAGGTGCCCCAGTTTGTGGGCTGCAACCAGCAGGACGCACACGAGCTGCTGCGAGCGCTCATGGAGCAGGCGCGGCTTGAGGATCTCGGGCGGCACCAGAAGCAGATCCTGCTCGGTCTGGGGCTGCCGGCCAAGGCCGACCCCAAGGAAGTACCCGACGACATGAAGGCGCGTGCCAAGGCGCTGGGCCACCAGGTATCGCATACGACCATCGACTCCATCTTCAGCGGCCAGCTGGTCAGCCTGGTGGTGTGTCAGGCCTGCATGGCCTGCACACACCGCATGGAGCCCTTCCTCGACCTCTCGCTGCCCGCCGCCGAAGATATCATCTTCAGCCTGCTGTCGGAGCTCGACCCGCCGCCGGCCTCGGTCAGTGGGGATTCGACGGAAGACGAGCTGAACGAACCGCCGGCCTCAGTCAGTCCGGACCCGCCGGCTGACGAGCCGCCCGCCTCGGTCAGCCCCGACCCGCCGGCCGACCTGGCCGCGGAGGAGCCCTCGGAGCGGCTCAGCGCGCTGATTGTGGACAGCGCCGGCGCCGCGGCCGCTGCGGACTCGTGTGGGGACGAGCCGGGCCCGCTGACGGTGTACGGCCGGCCGTCGTCACCGGTGGAGGCGGACTCGGCGCCGGCCGGGCTGGTGCCACTGGTCGGGGAGAGTGCTGACAAAGCCCCGAACGGTGCGCCGGAGACGGCGGGAGCGGACCAGGTGGGGGAGAAGCAGAGCTCTGTGCCGGCGGAGAACTGCGGAGAGGCTGTGGAGGCGCGTGAGAACAGTCTGGGCGCTCCGAACGGTCACTGCGGAAGGGCAGCCGAGGAGGCCCCGCGGGAGGGCCAGTCGCCGTCACCCGGTGAGGTGCCGGGCGGTGTGCCGACGGAGGCAGTGGCGAACGGCCAGAGCTCAACGGCAGGGGTGGCGGACGGCGGCGAACTCCAGTCTGCGCCGAACGGCGGGACCTGCGCGCCAACCGAGTCTGCCCCGGCCGAAGGGACGGGGACCCCCTCACCGGCGGCCGATCCCTCGGACGGCCCGCCGCCGCCGCTGAGCCGCTGTGAGTGGCTCAGTCGAGCGCTGACCACCCTGGCGCCGCGCTACCAGGCGGCCGCTGGCGAGTGCAGCCTGCTCACCTGCCTTAACCAGTACACGGCGCCCGAGCTGCTCACCGGCAACAACAAGCTCGGTTGCGACAACTGCACCGAGCTGCGCAACAAACGGCTCACGGCGGCTGAAAAAGCAGCTGAGAAGAAACTCGGCACAGTATACAGCAACGCCAGCAAGCAGCTGCTCATCTACAGTCCGCCGCCGGTGCTGACCATCCACCTGAAGCGGTTCGAGGTGTGCAGCTTCAGCCTGCGGAAGGTGAACCGGCACGTGCAGTTCGGCGAGCGGCTCGATCTGGCCCCCTTCTGTTCCTCCATCAGCCAGGACCTGCCTCAGATGCGGGCCGGCCAGCGGCGGGTGCTCTACTCGCTGTTTGGTGTCGTTGAGCACAGCGGTCGACTGACCAGCGGCCACTACACAGCCTACGTGCGCGTGCGCCGCCGTCACGACCAGCTCACCGTCAACCCTGCGCGACTCACCACACTCGTCACCGACGCGTTCGCCGTGGCGTGTGAGCGGGCGAGGCAGCGCGCCGAGCAGACCCGACCGGAGACCACGGACGGACCGTCCCCGGTCAGGCCCGCAGAGGAGGGCCGGGAAGACGGGGAGGGCGAGGACCCCGCCGCCGCGCCACAGGAGTCACAGACGGATCAAAAACAGCCCGCCCCGGAGCCCGAGGCGGAGCCGGAGCCGCAGCCGGAGGCCGGGCGGTGGTTTTACGTGAGTGACACGCACGTCACAGAGGTGACTCTGGACAAGGTGCTCAAGGCGCAAGCTTACATGCTGTTCTACGAGCGAATTGTGTAAGCGACTGCGGTAGCTTGGGATGGTGCTCTGTGCACGGGGCTGTGACGGCGCGCGAATCGTGTCCCTCAGTCTGACCGAGGTGTGATTTCGGAAAGGTCGTTTTTTGAATTTGCTTTAATGTGTGTTCATATGCTAATAAAAGGTTATTGTTTTGGAAGTTCTTGGTTTGAAAGTTTGTGTTTTGCTCTGAATACCAAACATTTTTTATTCATTGTGTTTCAATCCCCCACAAGCTATTTCGGCGTTATTCGTAATTTATCATTTAATTCAAATATCAAGCGAATAGCACAGTGAGCAAGAATGGCTTCACCTAGCTTCGACATCAGGTTAATACCGGAATTTGACGGGTCAGGTGATGTCGTAGATTGGCTGACCAAAGTCGAGATGGTCTGTAATCTACAGACCCCGCCGGCTGAGGAACTGATTGTCATCCCTCTGAGACTGAAAGGTGGTGCGTCTGCAGTATACCAGCAGCTCTCTGTAGAAGAAAGGAAGGACGTGACAAAGGTGAAAACTGTGCTGAAGCGTGCGTTCGCAGCGGACAAATTCATGGCATACGAGAAGTTCGTTGACAGAAAGTTGAGAGATGGAGAGTCGGTAGATGTGTATCTAGCAGAACTCAAGCAGCTGTCAACACTGTTCGGAGGTCTCAGTGAAGAAGGGCTAGCGTGTGCTCTTATGGCGGGCTTACCGGATGCGATAAGGCAGATCATGCGCGCCGGCGCTCGCATGGAATCGCTGTCATTGACAGAGATAGTGGCACGCGCGAGAGCAATTCTCTGTGAAGAGCAGACAGTACCAAGCGCATCTGCTTTCCTCGGACAGACTCCCCGTTCGCAGGGCGTCTCTGCGATGCGAGGTCTCAACCCCTCGAGTAGGGTGGTGTCCAACCGCTCTCAGAATAACAGGTCAACCGTGTCTTCAAGGAACACGGGCCGCGGAAGACAGAGTATTCAGTGCTACCGATGCTCCGGATGGGGTCATATCGCCGCTGAGTGCCCGAGCCAGCCTCGCTCGGGAAACGAGCTGCGAGGAGAGGACTCAGCGCCGGCCTCTGCTCGGAATTGAAGTGGATGGGCGCGCTGCCAGTGCGATCACTGGAAGTTTGCGGAAAACAGTGCAATGTTCTTATTGACACAGGATGCACCCGCAGTATCATTCATCTGTCTGTCTGCCAATCATGGGAACGGCAACTTGTGAACGTTGCCACTGCAAGCGGCCACAATCTGTTGTGCATCGGAGTCGCGGACGTCAGTGTGCTCATTCCGGGGCTGAAGGTTGTGACAATAAGCGCACTGGTAGCGGAAGACAGGCCTCTGGGATTCCACATGGTGCTTGGAATGGACGGTGTGCAGGCGCTTGGTGGTGTCTCCGTCCGGTCTCCAACCGAGGTACTCTTCTGTAGCGAGAAGAACACCTGCGCTGGACTCCGAGAACAGAGTGTGTCGACATCGGGTGCGGCTGCAAGGTCACGCCAAGGCGCCTCGGCCCAGTCTCCGACTGAAGAACTCTGTCGCAGCGAGAAAAGGCCGCGCACTGAACTCAGTGAAGAGGCTCCTGACTTGACGACTGGCGTAGATGTGAAGCCACAGCTGTCCGTGGAGAAAGCTGATTTCCGGGCTTGGTTTGATGAGCGCCAAAGATGTTGGATCGTGTCCTGGAAGTGGTCTGATGGCAAAGCACCTGGAGTGCTACAAAACTGTGTGGCTCAGTATCGCATCTCAGCTGAAGCCAAGGCGGCATACGAACAGGAAGTGGCCCTTTGGATAAACAATGGATGGCTTCTACCGTACGATGAAAGTGAGCTGGGTCCGCCAAAGGGATTGATCCCCATGATGGCTGTCGTGCAACTGAACAAACAGAAAGTCAGACCGGTGATGGACTTTCGAGAAATGAACACCCACGTGGACACTTTCACGGCAGATGCGGACGTGTGCAATGAAAAGTTGAGAGAGTGGCGCAAGCTGGGGAGAGACGTGGCGCTTTTGGACCTCAACAAGGCCTATCTGCAAATTCACGTGGAAAAGGAGATGTGGCCGTACCAAACGGTTATCGTCGGTGGCGTGCGATACTGCCTGACGAGGATGGGCTTTGGCCTCAGCGTATCGCCCTGCGTCATGAAATCCGTGCTGGATCTGGTCGTCAGCCAGGACTCGGACGTGCAGCGGGCAGTGTCGACGTACATTGACGACGTGCTGGTTGACGAGGCCGTGCTGCCGGCTGAGAAGGTGGCCGAGCACCTGAAGCGCTTCGGTCTGGAGTGCAAACCGGCAGTAAAACTCAAGGACGGAGGCAGAGCTCTGGGGCTGAGAGTATCAGCGGGAACAGACGGACTCAGATGGAGACGTGATAATGAAGTCACGGGGATCGAGCTGCCACTGACAAAGCGAAAGATATTTTCATTCTGCGGACGTCTCACAGGGAATCTGCCCGTATGTGGCTGGCTCCGACCAGCTACCTCGTACCTGAAACGACGCGCGAGCGCGCTATCCGAGAGGTGGGACGATCCCATCGAAGACAGTGAGGTGAAGAACATGGTTCAGGACCTGTTGGAGAAGGTGGCAGCAGATGACCCAGCGAAGGGCAGATGGGACGTGTCTGGAAGAGATGTCACAGTCTGGACTGATGCAAGCTCGTTGGCCCTCGGGGTAGCACTGGAAGCAGACGGCGAACTGATAGAGGACGGCTGCTGGCTGAGGAAAGACGATGGGACGCACATAAACGTCGCAGAACTGGACGCAGCTATCAAAGGAGTAAATCTGGCGATATCATGGGGAGCCAAGAAGGTTGTCCTAATGACAGACTCCCGCACCGTATATCACTGGATATCAAACTCACTGAGCGGAAAGATGAGGCTAAAGACGAAAGCCGCGTCTGAAATGCTCATCCGAAGACGTCTCTCAACTCTGCAGATGCTGGGTGAGGAGTACAGACTGGACATGTCTGTGCGAAGTGTGACCTCTGCTGCCAATCGTTCCGACAATCTCACAAGGGTGCCACGCAAATGGCTGAGTCCAGAAGTGAAGACCAAAGCGCCAGGTACTCCGCGAGGCGCCACTGAAACCAGAGATCCAGAAGCAGGGAATGACAAGCACAGAGCCCTGTGTGCCGCGATTGGAACGACAGCGAGGAGTGATTCCTGTCAGATCGCTGAAGCTGCTGTACAGCGGGAAGAGGACGGTATCTCTGCGAACGAGCTCGGTGTGACTGGTGTCGCAGCCGTGGCAACAGCCGTGCAGTGTGAACAGGACCGCGTCGCTCAGATTCATGCTGATGCCGGCCATCCCGGAATCAGAAGAACGCACTTCTTCGCTAAACGTGTCATGCCCACGGTCACAAAGACCTGTGTCAGGAACGTCGTGACGAGCTGTCAAGTCTGCCAGTCGATCGATCCTGCCCCTGTCAAGTGGAAGAAAGGCGAACTCAGTGTCAAGCAGGTCTGGACAAGACTTGGGATCGACGTCACAGAGTACCGCGGCAGATCATACCTCACCATCATCGACTGCAGCCCAAGTCGATTCACCATTTGGGGTCCACTGAGACTGAAAACAAGTTCAGTTCTAGTGGCCGAGCTACGCTCCATCCTGTTGGAGAGAGGAGCGCCGGATGAAATCCTACTGGATAACGACCCAGTGTTTCGAAGCAGGCGTTTTGGTGCATTTGCTGCAGAGTGGGGCGTGCGACTGACGTTCCGCTGTGCCTACGTCCCGTCCGGAAACGGTGTCACCGAACGCGTCCACCGCACCGTCAAGACCATAGCAGCAAGGAAGGGATGTGATATCTCAGAAGCTGTGTACATTTACAACATGACCCCGAAAGACAACAAGACAGACAACTCGACGCCAGCGAACCAGCTGTATCGCTACAACTGGAGGACGAGTCTGCCACACTCCGACCCTTCAGCGCAGCAGGAACCGGCTGGCGGGTACCGCCCGCCAAAAGAAGCGTACGAGCCCGGAGATGCTGTCTGGGTGAGGCCACCCGGCGCGCGCTGTCACACACAGTATGAGCAGGGCGTGGTGACACGCACGCTCTCGGAACAGGCCGTGGAGGTGAACGGAGTGCCCCGCCACGTCCGAGAGCTGCGACATCGGCTCCAACAGGACCATGAAGCTGAGGATGACAGTGACTCAAGTGAGAAAGGACCCATGCTGGTGTCCCTCCCCGTCAGACAACCAGAAGTGACGCCACAGTCCGAGACCGCCCCGGTCACAGGTCGAGACCGCCCCGAGACCGTTTTGCGGCGATCAGAGAGGCTCCGAAGTCGTGCCGCTCGTGAATCACAGGTGTGATATATGATTTGATGTGTCTTGAAAGACAGGGTGAGGTGTGCTAGCAGGAAAATGTTGTAAGTAACGTTATATAAGTAAATAATTTATTGTCAACTGCTAAAAGTGCGGCGGTGGCTCATTATGAACCGCGCGCGCACGATGTAGGAAAATGTGTGCCGACTGAAAGTTTGGGTCGGCTGGTTTTGTCGGTCTCGAGAGTCTCCAGCGCTAGATATGGCTTGGAATTTGGTTTAGTTCTTGGTTTGAAAGTTTGTGTTTTGCTCTGAATACCAAACATTTTTATTCATTGTGTTTCAATCCCCCACACATAATGTCAAGTTCTACGAATGCGAATGATACTACGAATACGAATGATAACTAAGACTTGTGTTCGCGCCCAATTAACCCTAACTTTTGTTTCAGCGCTCCGTCTGGATTTCAACCACCACGTTTTGGAGCATGTGACGCTGAGTGACAATGACGGTGACGGACTGGGCATCATGTACTCGGACATCTACAAGATAGACGACGTCAACCATTTCAAGCACGTCGAGTCTCGCTACAACCGCGGCCACGGGATTTCAATGCGAACCGCCTGGCTGGATATGACCGGTTAGTTTTCGAGACCCTCTGGGCCTGGGGCGCTCTTTGGGGCTGTTGAGGCTGGGTCAATGAAGTGTGAATGGATCTGATTGGTTATTTGGTGATACTTGGGACGAATGAGCGGGGACGTCTCGAATCGGAACGTCTTGAAAGCCCTCCGAAAACTTTATGTCAATGCATTAAGCAGCCTCTTACTTTGTAACCTCTATGGTACCTCAGTATGTATGTCCGATGGGTACTAGAATACATTCTCATGGCTGCCTCGTCTGTTTCAGATTGTAGGCTGATGGGGAACCAGCAGTCGGGTCTGCACTACGAGCCGTCCCTGAGCCGCTCCGAGCAGAGGGAGCTGGTCAGGTGGATTGCAGAGGCACCCGAGAGGAAGCTGCTGCTGCCCTCTGCCGACAGCAACATCGTGCTGAAGCAGGATGAGCCGGTCTACCTGATCACCATGGGCGCAGAGCGGGCCACGGACAAAGTCTTCAATATCAGGGTGAGACTGTACCAGAAATTTCTGTAATATTTCTTGGAAGGTATGACAAATGTATCTTCTGACAATGCAGAGGAATGGGACTTTCGCGAAACCCACGCTGTTTGACAGACACGTACATATATCTCGTTTTGCATTGTGTTGCCACTTGCCACATATTGCGGTATTCTATAACAAGCATTAACAAGCATGTATTTATTCCTGTGAATGTCTCCTCTTGCAGACTGCCCGTGAAAACGTCATCGGAATCCAGGTGTTGAACCCGGGTGCCGAGGAATCCACCGAAGACGTGCACGTTTACGACTACTACAAGATACAGCCGGATGTCGAGGTATCGTTAATATTGTCTGGGAGATGATTTTTCAGTTGTGAATCTCGGTTATAAACCCATTGAAACAAACCTGACCTGTTGGATTGAGGTGTTCTTACAGTCCTGTTTAGCCGCTGGCAGTGACGCTTTGCCGACCCGACGCAGGTGTGGCAGCTGCGAAGGGACTTTTTGGCCTTCCCGGTGAGCTCGTCCAGTTACCAGGTGGTCATACGCTACCTGGCGCCGGGGAGAACCAGGGGAGGAGCCGTCCTCCTGCTCACCGCCGTCAGACGTGAGTACCTACAGCTGGTTCCCATGCTTTGTGTTCTGTCCCGTTTCCCTGCGCACATTGTAATCACGTGCCCCTTAGCAGATGAAAGTTTGCAACTCGTAACGCAGGCGTCAAGTTTGGTCAAGCAAACCTTCTTTTGTTGCGCAAGTAAATTTTAATTAACGGTGACGAAATATAAATGGAGTTCACTAGGGTTACCCGCGTGCTCCGCAACGCAAAGGGGGGATTTTTTGACCCGTGGGTATTGGGTTGGTCTGTGTCGATTTGGTTGGTAGATATCCATTTCGTTCGATTGCTTTTTGACGGCCAAGCATTTTGTAAGAAAACAAAAAGATACATCGCATCGAGGTGCCCGTGTCGTATTATCATGCGTTCTACTTTAGAATGATTCGAAAACTGGCGTGAAGTCTTTTGAGGGCCATCGATGAATTTCGTTAAAAATGACAATGTAATGGTTTGGAACATTTACATTTTTAAGGATACTGTTGCTAATCATGCAACAATGAAGAGTGAATATTGGACAGAATTGAATGCTCTATCCAATGGTACCATATTCAATTGCCAAAGGCATCAGGTTATGCAGCAAACCCCGTGTGATTAATAAAGTGGCACAAAATTGACAAACACCATTTTCTCCTGTGATTTGCACCACCTTGATTTGGATCAATCAGCTTTTCACAATTTTCATATGAGAGGCGGTACCTTTCTCTTGCCAACAGGCGTTGTTCCAACTCGCTCCGTTTAACGGTCACCTAAAAAAAAAAATCAATTCCAAAATCCGTCCAAAACGTCAATTTTCCACATAAAAGTGCCCTCCTCGGTGCACGTGGCGCGTGCCATCCTCTGCATCGTACACCATTCGATAGCCCGTTCAATTATCTACACGATGCTGTTATTCCCGTGCCGGTCGGACCCCTGGTCACCAAGATATTGCACGGGAACTGGACCCGTGTCGGCCAAAATTAGCCGTTTTCGCCCGATTTCGCACGCCGATTTATACATGTAAAGTCTATGACGCGAATTTGCACTTTTTGAGCACGCGCCACGCGCTCCCTATCACTCCGATCGAGCTGAGACCCCTCAAAGGCACGTCGCGCATCCTTGATCTATAAGTTGTGCAATTTTCACCGGGCTAGGTGCAACGGTCTGGCCTGTAGTCCACGCAAAGCACCATCAAGTCGGGACCTCGGTAACGGACAGACGCACCCTCCTCAAATAGTAATATAGATTATTTTGAGAAACTCACCTAATCGCTGTTTAATCCTGGACTTATCCCTGTCCCGGAGACTCGGAGTGTGGCGTTCCAGTGCGATCACATGGTTGTCTGTCTCTGCAGGCTCGGACGTGCTGAACGAACGTCCAACTTCCCTGCTGCGTCGGATGGTCATCCCGGGCAGAACGCCCCGCATCAGACTCTTCAAGTCAACCGTGGAAAACAACAGACGCGGCATCTCAGCGCATTTCTACGACAGGTGGGCACGGTTTGGGGGCGCGTGGCGTAGCTGATGTCCGTCGTATCGTGGACCTGACGCCGTTCGGCATGTGTACGCTGCTGCACAAAGCTTGGTTCTTAGTCAGCTGGTTACGATTATTTTACTGGCTCGTCGGACACTCATTTATTCGGAATAGTCCCCACGGAATGTCATGAACCATGGACATTTGACAATGAGGCACGTCACAGATGCCCTGTAACATGGCGTTAAGTTCAAACGGCATATGTTCAAAGGAAAATGTGGAATACACTGTAAACCATGCTTAAGAACTCATGTAAGTCGTAACAATTAGTTTCATAATTGAAAACGCTCAAGAAGATATTTCCCGGCTGCTGTCTTTCCTCTCTACAGGCACCTTGGTCTTTGACTTCAGCGTCTCATAGGCCGCCAACTTTTATGTCGAAGGCAAACAAGCGACTCAGGTATAAATGTTCCTTTCTCCTGCCATGATCTTGCTGGCTTGACTCCACTTGCTCTAAATGACCTGGCCCTGACACCGGTCTACAGTTGAGCTGGATCTGGCTGACCTCTGCTGGCCCTGGGCCATGGCCTGACCTTTTCGTGGTTCATCCGGATAATTGGGCTGTTCTTCCTAACTTATCTCCAGGCACTACTCTGTGTAGTTGGCCTGATCCTTGCTTGTCTCTCCTTCGACCTCCCGGTCCGCCTAGCCTACGTCGTATCCTCGATCCTTCTAGATAACCTGTTCGTCGTGGCGCGTTTCGTCGGTGGCCGGCAGCAGCTCTCCGTCATTCCCTCTGCGGTACATGGGTCCTCCGCTGCGGGCCGTGTTGTATGAGCCGCACTGGGCGCACTTGAGACCCACCACGTGGAACGGCGCCACGCTGGTGGCGTGGCAGTCACGGCACAGCACGGACGCCAGGAGGTGTCGGTACTGGCTGGGCATCGCGGTCTGCTGCACCGCCTTGTCCAGCTCCCGCCAGACGGGCTGCATCTCCAGCATGGAGACGTTGCACAGCGGACAGGAGAACAGTCCGTGCTGCAGCATCTGCTGGCGGCAGGCCTCGTGCAGTCTGTGGCCGCAGGTGTTGACGTGCACGGCGGCCCGCGAGGAGTGCAGGTCATCCAGGCAGACGGCGCAGTCGTCCAGGGCGGCCGACGGCCGACACTGGTGGCTCTGCCGCTCGAAGAGGGGGTAGCAGCTGCCGCACTGCGCACAGTGGAACGTCTTCTCACGGGGACCGACGCGACACAAGCCACACTCCTCGCAGTGGTACTGGTCCCGGGACTTATCATACAGCCGGCAGATGGAGCAGAAGTACTCCCCGAACTGAACACCACAGCGCTCGCAGGCGCGGCTGACACCCTGACGAAGGTCGCACGCGCCACACTGGATCTCCGACACCTCGAACCGGTTCAGCGTGTGCACCTCGGCGGCGTCATGGCAGAGACGGCACCAGTAGAGTCGGCCGCAGCAGGGGGCCACCAGGCGTGCCCTCCGACGGTAGTGCTCGCAGCCGAGCTGCTGCAGGACGTCCGTCTGCGCTGTCACAGAGTTCACAGAGCGTACTTCGGCCATGTCCAGATGATTCTGATAAGACGATATTGGAGATCTTATGCCACCAGAAACGTTCCCACCAGCGTGACAGTGCCACTAGTGACCAGACAAAAGCTGAACGTTCCACTCACTTGTAGAGACTCTCTTGGACTGGCGTCGTTGTGGACAAGGGTGCGCCGACCACCTCGGCGTCTCTTATCTTCTCAGGGAGCCGACCGGGCGCCCGCTATCGGCTGGAGGGTGTCTGTGGCACGAGGCATTGTGCTGGAGTTCGTTTGAACCTTGCCCCGTCCACGAGTCAGTTGTTATCGGGCGTCCATTTGCATGCTATGGAGATTGGAGACCTTTGGATCGGATAATGAGAACCACGGATGGTGGTCTTTGGACTTCGTTCGAAAGTCGAAACTTTTGCCAGCTCAAGTTATGGGTGATTTAGACTCCCGTCTCTTCAAAATGCTGCAGCTGGGCAATTGCTGCTTGTTCGTTGATAAACGGTCTAATATTTTCCTTGGTAATTTCCTATGAAATAAAAATACGTAAGTGTTACCTGACTTCTTTTAAAAAGCAGATGTTTCAAATGATTAGGACCTGATGGAGATGCCAGGTTCTTTGTATTAGGCTGCTAACATGTATGACATTGCACCTGAGCCCATGGAACACATATCCACAATTATTGCAGACCACCTTTTGTTTCAACTCAAATGCCACATCATTTGTTATGTGCATCCAGTAGCGGCGGAACACCTTCAATTAAGGGGGGGGGGGGGGCACTGCCGACTTCTGGTCCCATTCTTTCCATGCAACGTCCATAGGGCTAATGTTAAAATGCCAAAATCAAAGGGGGCACGGTGCCCCGGTGCCTTCCCCGTTCCGCCGCCTATGTGTGCACCCACCCCTTGCCGTTTTTTATTGACCGTCCCGCTCCCCCGTTACGCAGGTACCGCGGGGACCTGCACGAGCTGCGTCTGAGACGGTCCAACCAGTCCATCGAGGTGTGCGACTGCACCATCACCGGTAACCGGGAGCAGGCGGTGCTGCTGCGCTCCCCGCTCCGCGAGGTCACCTCCTCCAACATCTCCGAGGTCACCGTCATCGTCAACCGCACCACCATCGACGGAAACGGGGCCGGCCTCCAGCAGATCTCCAAGTTAGTAAAAGGTTTTCAGAGCTACGAACCTAACATTTTTGCCCGGTGCCGGCGTGATCCTGGAAGGTACTTTATTTATCATGAGCTCAGGTACCCAGCGCTGATTCGTGTTTTTTTTTTATACTTTTACGATCTTTGGGTATTGCAAACGACACGATCATTTTGCTGATGAAACTACGACGGAGCTTCAGTGAATGCTGACGTTTCGCTACAAAAGTGTGCGCTACTTTGTAGATTCTTGCCGTTTAGCAGTGTTTATCCGAGCACACGCAACAAGCTCATCTCTTTTTCCGCAGCAACCTGTGGCTGTCCAACAATCTCTTCCACTGGGTGTTGCACAACAACACCATCTCCTCCAGTGGACGGGGCGGCGTCGAGCTGAGCCTGCCGTACGTCTGGCAGTACAACGAGAACTTCACCCACTCCATCTACATCAGCGACAACGCCTTCAGACACAACTCTGAGCTCCGGCTGTCCGTCAGCGGACACTTCTCTCGGGTACAGCTCAGCGGCAACAGCCTCACAGACAACACCGCCGCGGGACCCATGATCGCCATCTCTGGCATGGAGAAGGAGTTTCTCATCACCGACAACACCATCCGCAACAACCGGGCTCCCACAGTCGTCAATATACACTCCGATAGCCAGACAGCCGTCATCGGGAACGTCAGTGCCGAGGTGACGCGCAACGTCATCCGCGACAACTCTCCGCCGCTGACGTCAGGCGAGGAGGTGGACCTCGCCAGCTACGTGGTGGCCGTGCGCGGCGTGCAGCCGGTGAATGTGACAGACAACGTGCTGGCCACGAACGGCATGCGCTACGTGCTGCTGGCCGGCAGTCGGGTGTCCGGCCTGGGTACCGCCATGGACGCGCGCCGCAACTGGTGGGGTACCCGCGAGCCCACGGAGATCCGCCGGCTGATCGTCGATTTTGACGACCGGGCCGGGTACGTGCCGGTGACATTCAGTCCGTTCCTGACGCAGAGCTACGTGGGCGCGCCTCAGCAGCAGGACCGCGGCTCGGACGGCCCGATGGATCTGGACCGACTCTGCGGCAGACTCACACAGAACCTGACGCTCAGGTGGGTACTTAGTACTTACAACGGACATCTTGGATTCAGGTTGGGGAGCGTGCGCCCTCAGGCACCTAGATAAAAAATGTGTTCACTTCTGTGGCTGTTCACTTGGTTGTTGTCTGAAATGGCCTCAAACGAAGCTGTGTTGCACTTCTTCTTAGATTTCATTTCTCTTTCACTGGGTCTACAGTTTACATCCAACCACTTTCTCTTGTGCCTTGGATCCGTTGTCCATTTTACGGCACTAAATAACTATATTACCAGCCTTTTCTGATGCTTACAATTTATTTTAGCATCGGTATCTTCCACACCCCAATGACCTGCCGTTCTGTGTCCCCAGGTACCGTCCGGAGCCGTACCTGGTGTGGTCGGACCTCACCGTGATGCCGACAAGCACACTGCACCTGGAGCCGGGCGTCATCCTCGAGTTCCACCCGGGAGTAGGACTTCTGGTGCTGGGAAGACTGATGGCCATCGGCAACGAGGAGCGAAGGATTGTGATGAGGCCGGTGTCTCTGCGAGGCGATGGTGAGGGTCGGAAGAGGAGCTTGCCGCCGGGTGTGACGAGGTTGAGGGCCTCGAGTGAGGTGTTGGAGAATCGTCGAGGCGGAAGAAGTTCTCGTGACTTGTCACGGAACTCACGAGCTGAAAGAGACACTCGTGAAGTCGCCCTGGGCGAGGCGGAGGAGCAGTACGGCGGTCCGGTGGGCCAGACCGCTCCGGAGTGGCGCAGCCCACCGCCCGGCGCGGCCATACGCCAGCCGCTCCCCGTCCGTCTCTGCACCCCGGGCAACTGCACGGGCTCCAGCGGCTTCCTGGAGCTGTTCAACCGCACCACGCGCCAGTGGGTGCCCGTGTGTGACCGGCACTTCTCCGACCGCAACGCCGAGGTGGTGTGCCGCCAGCTGGGCCTCAGCGACGTGCACGTGCACGTGGCGCTCGGTCAGAGGACAGAGTTCACCGAGCTGACGCTGCGCTGGGTCACCTCCTGGTCGGAGCCGATCCAGTGCTCCGGCGAGGAGCGCCGCCTCGGCGACTGCCACCTGCGGCAGACCGGCCGCGAGCCGGACCCGACCGGCGCGCCGTACGTCTGTGACTGGCTCGATCCGTTTGTGTTCGTCGACTGCGGCTCGCCGGTTCCTGTGGAGGCCGCCCGCGCCTGGGGAGGGATCCGCTTCTCTCCGGGCCGGCTGGAGGAGGCGCTGCGCCGTCCCGAGGACGCGCCCCTCTCCGTGATGCGTTACGTGGATGTGGTGGGCGCCGGCCGGCAGCACGGCCTGCCGTCTCCAGCTGTCCTCTCCGTGCGCCGCGCGCCCGACGTGCAACACATCCGTGTGACCGACAGCCTCGACGACGGCGTGGCGGCCGTCAGCCCCGAGCAGTCCATGGAGCTGCTGTACCTCAGCGTCAGCGGCAGCCTGGGCGTCGGCGTGAGCATGGCGATGCTGACCGGGGAGGCGCGCAGCGCGGGCCACAGCTCGTTTGTGCCTGTGCAGAACGTGACGCTGCCGTACAGCGTGTTCGGCATGCTGGACGTGTGCGACTCGGTGAAGGAGGTGGTGGTGCGGGAGCGCGTGCTGCTCCACTACAGGTACGACGACAGACCGGTGGACTGCGTGAAAATCTTCAAGTCGGCCGCCGAGGTGAAGACGCTGGGATTCAGGTGAGTACTTACCAACACTCAATGTTTGTTTGTTTGTTTTGTTTGTTTTGTTGGGTTAGGCCCTTTCGGTCCAATGAGACCATTTCAGAGCCGGGAGGATGATAGGATATAGGGGGAGACATTGGTCTGGGCAGGCACCCTAGTGAGTCGCCGGGGCTGAGCCCGTCCAGAGGACAGGCCACCCAGCCCCAAGGCACTCACTGCACCCGGCTACGGGGTGCGCTCCCTCGGGAGCAGCGGTGCCGCTCCAAGGGAGCAGCCCGCATGAGATAAAGTTGCCTGTCCAGCCCGGAGGGGGGTTGCGGCGTGGAGGAGAAGGATTTCAGTATCCTGAGGATAGAAGCACGGAACGGTCGAACACTCAATGTGGTTGGCTTGGACTTTTGCATTGGATACCAGTTGACATTTTATAGCTGCTACGATTTTTCTACTTTTAAAATGCTTATCGCAGATATATTCCCAACCTTGCATGTGCGTCTTTTTATTCACTTTTTCTGCTCTCACATGATCGTATTCGCCTTCAGACTGCTGCAGTTCAACCTGGCCAACTCGAGCGACTTCCCTGATCTGGCTCCCGACTCGATCCGACTGTTTGACGGCGACATTTGGAACGTGACGTCGATCCTGATGTCGGAGCTGACGTACGCCAGCGTCGCCGACAGCGTGCTCTTCCACACGACCAACGAGACGACGCTGAGCGTGCAGTGGCACTCGAGCGGCGGTCACAGCCGGCACGGCTTCATCGCAGAGGTCGTCACCCTGCCCGTCTCCTCCATCGGATTCAGTGAGTGTGGAACGCGAGAGCTGCGGGGATGACGCGATCCCTGAACCTGATGCGACGAGAATAGAGTTGATTGCTAGTGCTCACTGTCTCAGGCAGTTATGATTGCAATGTGTGGAAACTAAGTAGCGTGTCAAAGGTTTTTATTATTTGTATTTGTTATATTCTGACATACCAGATAAAAATAGTTGTTACCGTTGCGTGCTTCGTTCCAGGTCGTGAGGTGATGCACAACATCTCCTTCTCGGAGATATACGATAACGAGGGCGGCGCCGTGACGTATGTCGGTGCCGGCGAGATCAACCCCACCGTGACCATGGAGTGGAACCGGATCACCGGCAACGGCAGGCACATGTACGGCAACTTCAGCACGGCCAGCGCCGCCGTCAGCATGGACGTACAGAACATGCAGTACCTCTACTTCACGGTGAGGGAACGGATCGTGGAGTGCCACGCATTCTGTGGTAAGACATCTTAGCACTTGTCGGTAGCCTTGCTGTCACCACGAGACATGTTTTAGGTCCAAGAAAAAACATGATGAATGATGATGATGATTGAGAAACTGTGCTTGCGTTATTCATAACTATAAAGCAACCGACAAAATAAGGCAACCGAAATAATTTTTGGAGAAGTCTTCCTTTCTTCCTGTCGATGATTTGATGTACATTTCCGTATCCTCCTCTCACGCGTTCCGTGATTGCAGAACAACCTGTTGCGGTACAACCAGGGCGGCCTGCGTCTGCTGGCTGACTCCAGTGGTCTGGCCACGGCTCTGAAGGCGCACATCAGCCACAACCTGTTCAGCGACACCCGGCAGCACCCGTCACTGCTGGTGGAGGGCCGGCGTACATCGCCCTACCAGGAGGCCATCGTCTACTATAACTACATCACAAGGGCCGACTGCTTTTACCGAGAGGTCATCGAGTTTTCACAGGTGCGCGGATGATAAATGTTACCTGTTAAAGCGTTATTCGACAGACAGTGAATTCCACAGCTCGTTTGTGGCAAGATCATGAAGTTATATAACGTTATAACGTTTATATCGCGCATGACCTTTTGCTCTTTCGTAGCTAACGTCTTACTGGTTGTTTCTAATGACAGACACATTCCATACACCTGATTACTCTAATGTATTTTTGCAGGTTGTTACCAATTTTACTCACAACCTCATCTATAACAACAACGGCTTTCACACGATGAAGGTGACTGGCTTTGAGCGCGTCCATCTGCCCATCTACCAGAGCTTCGTACGCAACAGCTTCTACGAGTAAGTGCCGTTCGTTATAAGTGGATCCATTGAGGACAAAATGCTTTTAAAACGGTTTTTAGATGATTTTAGATATGATTTTGCATGACATTGCGGGAAATAGTTGATTTCAATCAACTTCTCAATGATCAACAACAACAACAACCAACTATTTACAACATTAACTAATCAGCATCGCGGGAAAATGTTGATTTAACTACTTTCTCAGTAACCATTTTTCGACTAATATACAACTGCTGTTAGTTATTTCGCTCAGCACCCACAATTCACACATGGCCGTTTTACCTACGCGCCGTTTCGCCCCTTCAGAAACTACGCGACTGACGAGGATAACCGTACCACCATCCTGGTGAGCAGCGCCGGCCAGCGGTACGCCGAGAACGTGCTGGTTAACGAGGACAACGACTACGAAATGGCCACCATCAACCGCACACAGTACGTACTACGTACCATCTTAAAACCGAGCTGAAGATACGATAAAGTAGGTGATGTGCAAATTTACGCACACTTCAGTAACAGGTCATTGGGTACTTGTCATGATGCTTATTTGGAATTTTGTGTTCGCTGACGATTGTTTCTTTATTTCCAGGGAGGAGCTGAAAATGTCCAACTACAGGTCAGTTTCTGGCGTAAATCGCTGATCATATTTGCTTTTAGCTGGATATAAATTTGCCTGCAGCGATGGATATCGTAAGATAATTTGCTATTTCCGCATTATTAATATATTATAAACTTAGCATGCTTGTTTTATATGGCACAAGCAATGTTTATGCATGTTTATATGTAGATATGTAACGCGAATCGTTTGAAATATTTTTGAGTTTCTGTTCGTTATCTGTTCAGGTACGAGATCTGGAAGACGCCGCTGGACGCTCGGAGTAACTGGTGGGGCTACAACGAGACTCGGGCCATCCAGGGACGAATCAAGGACAAGCTGGACTTCCACGGTCTGCTACGGATCGACTTCAGGTAGTGTGCTGAGAGACAGAAGTACAATAGCATTGTCCTGTCGTAATTCTTGCTGACTATCAACGAATTCTGCTTTGAGATGTCCGCACCAGCCTCCAATTTTCTGCTGTGCGCTCCATCCACACGCATTCCGTCACCAGCCTATCGTTTCTCCGCCTGCAGTCAGTTCCACATGAACAACTTCTCGCTGCTGAGCGACAAGTGTCCGCCCGGCTGGACGCTGGTCGACACCACGTGCTTCATCTACGTGCCGGCGCCGATGACGTTCGCCGAGGCCAAACAGTTCTGTCAGGTGAGCGCGGCCTGGGGTCCTCCGCCGATCGCCTCTCTTTGGGAAGTGATGGATGTTAGATAGCCTCGTTGTTAGATCCTCGTCGTACTGAAGTGAGCTGTATGCCTGGAGATTTTGGCATGATTATGTGTGGCTTAATGATCGTCATCGATTGATTTAGGTAGCTATAGCATATGATTGGTGCGACTTAAAGACGTTTATTACGATAGGAGGCTGGCGAAGTAACACCGCATCGACCAACCGTTTCCATTACAGGGCGACAACGCGTCGATGCCGTACCTGCAGCGTCACACGGGCGAACTGATCGGCTTCATCCGCGGCCAGCAGCCGTTCTACAACTGGCGTCTGGACCGGGTGTGGATGCAGCACCTGGACATTGTGCAGGGCTGCAGCTTCTTCGTGCAGCAGCGGGTCGTCAGCGGACCGTGCGACCTGCACCTGCCCTTCCTCTGTGAAATGGGTGAGTTTGGGGGAGGGGGTACTGACCTGCACCTGCCCTTCCTCTGTGAAATGGGTGAGAGGGGGGTACTGACTACTGACTTATACCTGCCCTTCCTCTGTGAAATAGGTGAGCTCGGGGGGTATGGTACTGACCTGTACCTGCCCTTCCTCTGTGAAATGGGTGAGAGGGGGGTACTGACTACTGCCATGCACCTGCTCTTCCTCTGTGATTTCATCCGTGCAAGGCTCATCAAGTTTCGAAAGTGTGTAGAATCGTACCACCTGAGACCATGTTTTTTTTTAGACCAACAGGGTGAGCACTCCGAGTATGCGTACCATTTTACACCATCTTTGCCTGTTTCTTCCTGGACACACCCGATGGTGTGCTAACCTCTACGCTCTCTGCCGTCAGACCCGATGGTGTACGCGGACCCGCTCTCCTGGTTCCGCGACCCGGCGGTGATTGGCGTCATTGCCGGCGCCTCGATCGCGCTGCTCGTCCTGATCATCCTGCTGATGCTGTGGGCGTTCAAGTCGCGCCACCGGCGCTCCGAGAAGCTGATGCGCCGGCGCAGTGTGCGCAGCAGCGCGCGCAGCACGCGCTCGCTGGTGGCGGCCAGCAGGTCCGGCAGCGCGTCAGATGTCAGCAGCGTCAGACGCACCAAACAGGCCGTGAGTTGGGTGACAGGGCGAGGGTTTTGGTAGAGGAATGGGTGTGAGTTGTGTGTGGAGTGATTAATGGATTTGGTAGACAATGGTTTGGAAGGTGGGTGCAGGGGAATGAATGGTTCCTGACCGTTATCTCTGTTGGAGTAGATTTCTTTTTCTCATTATCGTTAGAGTTCATATGTCTATTAGAGATAATATGTGTTTTAGAGATCTTCTAATCAGATTGGATCCAAACTACTCTCACACTTGACTGTTTTCGTAAGCTGTTTGATTTCCTGTCTGGTCTGACTGACCTGCTGCGCTCTGCCGGCCGCCAGATGAGCCAGGGCTCAGATGTCGCGTCGAGCGCCGGTCCGGTGGTGCTGACCTCTGCCGGCACCGACGAGGAGAGCTCCACTGCCGAGTACGACTCTCGGTTCACCCCTCAGAGGACGGCGTTCCAGCACCCCTCCCTGGACACCCCGCCGCCGAGCGAGCCCGACTCTGACTCCGACTCGGCGCCGCTCTCCGATCCTGACTCCACGGACTCACCGCCCAGATTCGAGCCGGCCGCCGCTCCGGTCTCGCGCCATCCTGCCGGCGGCTACCCTCGCCAGCCGGTCTCCGAGACCTCCACCGAGTCCGAGTGTGCCGACAGTGGGAGCGGTAACTACACGGCCGTCCTGCCGCCCTACGGCCGCTCCCGCCGACAGACGCCCGGCGTCGACCCCGTCTACCAGAACATCGGACCCGTCTATGAGAACATGAGCGAGGTGCGGCGGCCAGCGTCGCCCGGCTCGCGCGGGGTGCACGCGGCAGTGTCGATGGGCCATCTGCCGCGCGGTATGAGTGTGTACGCGGCCGGCGCGCCGGGACCTGACGAGCCGTTCCTTCAGGGCAGGACGCGCTCTCAGCCGATGCTGGACTTTCTGGAGACAGCGATATGACACTGTCGAGCGATATTGTTGGCCAGTAGAGGCCTGGAAGTGGTAGTCCGTTGTGGTAAGGCCGTGAGATTGTTCGTCTGGGACTCAGGACACCGGAGGCGTTTTGTAATGATTTGTGGTGAGCGCCGGGTGCCAACGATCTTGAGCTGTCCTTAGGAAGTGCTGAAGTATTGCGAGATATTGCTGAGAATCGAAACTGGGCAACGAAACAAGTGTTTGTTGGGCTGAAGAGCAGCGACGCTTCAGTCATTAAAGATACTCTCGTTGTTACTTTTTCATGTTTATCAACGCTTATGAAGTCGTGGCCCTTCATGACATCACCAACGCCTTTGAACCACGAGCCCACCGCGCAACTACAGCGAACTTTCGCCAGCGTGTGATCAAATTCATTTATTCATTCCATAGTGCAGCAATTTCCAGTGTGTTTCCAGCGTGTGTGTTATTTCCAGCGTGGCCTGACACGGGCGATCTACGCTGTGCTTGTATCGAACATTGATGTGCTGATATAGCGAGATTCCGGAGGCGAGACTGGCCAAAGACTGGTTATTCCTGGGCTACTCTTTACCAGTACTTTTATACCAAGAGCGCGTGCGAGTTTATGGTAGTGTACCTGCCCGCTTTTGAGTGTTTGGAGTTGAGTGGCCAGTGAGGATCGTCCGGTACTTCAACCTTGTATTATACATTTGTAGAAGGGTGTATAAGTCAGTAACGTGCTTGTCATAAACGTTACTACATGAAGTGACACTGTATTGTGTTATAGAAATGTGGACGGCATGACAATGGATTGACGTCTGTTTACTTAGTGCATAATGAATATGCCTTTTGACATGTGCTCTGATGTCTGTGAGGCTTAGGCACTGCAAGATGATGCTATGTAAATATCGATTATCATTCAGCCTTTAGTTGCCCCAAACTATGATCAATCATGACAAGTCATTGTTAACTCAGTCACAAGGAGAGCTTGAATAAGATGTTTTTTCCGTATAAGTTGCGTTTCATACATCGCACTGTGTGTGTTGATGGATGTATTTGATTGATATAGGAATACTGGAAGTGTCTTACTCTTTAGTGACGTGTAACATCGTAAAAAACAGTATAACGCCTTTTGGGGCGACTAACGGAGCGAGCGAGGGGGTGGGCCTTGCACGTGCGAAATTGCGAGGGGGTACCTCTAACTGACTTGTGCACGGCACCCTACTAACTGGTCTCTAGCGATGTGCCAAATTTGGGCACAATCGGCCCAGCCGTTCTCGAGATCTGGAGGCGGCACCCTGCACGTGCGCACGTGCAAAATGGGTCCCAACTGACTTGTGCACGGCACCCTACTAACCGGTCCCTAACCGTGTACCAAATTTGAGCGCAATCGGTCCAGCCGTTCCCGAGATCTGGAAACGATCCCTGCACGTGCGCACGTGCAGCAGCACCCCAACTCTGGCACATGTAGGTATATGCAGTGCCTAGTGGGTGCCTACCTACATGCCAACTTTCAGCGCAATCGGCCCAGTAGTTACCGAGATATTGCAACAATTACAAAACTGACACCTCTTCGTTTTGCACGTGGCACGTGCATAAGGGGTCACCCACATGCATAGGGAATAGTCCAATACTTGGTAGAAGGAATGAAGCTACCCTACAAAAATTACCGCGTGTAAATCGGTCAAGTGGTTGCTGAGATATAAGCCTCGCAAAAGCGTGACCACGGCCGGCCGGCCGGCCGGCCGCTCATACTCAGAAATTTCCGTTAATCTAAGGAAAGACTACGCTCGCTTCGCTCGCTCCGTAACAATATTTGCGTGTAAAAGTATAAGTCATTCTGCTTCACCAGCCCATCTCCACGAAACCTGAAGAGGCAATAGACCTTTTCACGACGGACTATCCGGCGAGCAGTGTTCGCCGCGGGCCGCAAAATCCCAGTCCAGCCCAGCCCAGGCCCATGGGTTCACAGCCCGGCCCAGCCCTAGCTTATTCATGGTAAAAGCGTCAAATCCCAGTCCGGCCCAGCCCGTTAAAAATGAATAGATTAAAAATTATTGACACCACACAAGTACCCAAAGGAAGCAAAGGACCAATCTTTTGCTAGCAGCATGTACAATGCACAAAGCATGCGTGCTTTATTAACTCGCTTTTGTGTCTTGCAAAGTAATAAGCTAGGTAGTTATAGTTTTTCTCTCAGTTGCGAACCCCTGACTCCACTTTACAGTTCTTGGCCCAGCCCATCCACAGCCCATTGATCCTTCATATTTGAGGGCCCAGCCCAGTCCGTAGCCCAGCCCAGCCTATGGCCCATTGGGCTGGACCGGCCCATGGCGAACACTGCCGGCGAGTGCACCTAATTTGACCAAATCTACACCTAATCTCTTTTACAGCAAATATATTTATTCTATACATTTATTTCAGTGTTTTAAGCGATGATACTCTGATAATATGACAAAGCAGGCATATAAGCAATTAGTGCAACCCTAGCTGTTAGCTACGAAGAGACACACTGAACCTAATTTGACCAAATCTGCACCTAATCTGTACCAAATATGCACCAGATGTGTACCAGATGGCCGTCCTAAAAACGGCTATTGCCTATACTTGTGTCATAACTCGTTCAGCGCTGCCGTCTCCGGTCGAACTCGGAACGGTACATAGCTTCTAGCGGGATACAACCGTCATCAGCAAAGCCCAGCATTCCCCGCAGAGAGCATACGCATTAATTTGACATTGCTGCGACCATCATGCACATTTGTGCACTGACCTGACTTCCAAACCTTTCAGCTGAAGCTAATCACAGCTCTACTGATGAGCTGCGAGGGGAGGGGAGGGGGAGGGACCCTGATCGGGGTCAGTGGGGCAGCGCTCTGTGCGGGTGGGGAGCGGGGGGGGGGGGGGGGGTGAACGGCAGGGGAGCGGCAGGAAGCGCCGCGAGACTCCGCCGCCGTCGGCGCGGCCGGCGCCCAGGGTCAGCTCAGAGGGCTCCGCCCGCCCCGCCGTCGCCGCTTCCCACACCCGTCCCACGCATGGACGGGCGTCTGTTGCCTGGTGCGTTCTACAGGTAGAGATCGATGATAAAAGCCACCGTAGGTGCAAAGAAGATCAGACGAATGTCGCTTGTTCAGTGCATGTAAGAAGATATGATCTATCAGCGCTTAATGAGCATTGAGCAGGTCGCTGCCGTATTGATTTTGAATGAGATGCAAAGGCCTTCGCCCTTCAAACATCGTCCACAGCGGCAACGGCTAATCGTTTCGGTTTCATTGTTTTGGATGATAGCAAGATGATAGTCATACTCGTACAAGCTCACAACCCAACCGAAATAAGCAGATTTTCAGCGAACTGGTTGTCCAGTAGTCAACTATCAACCTAGTGCTGATTAAATAATTCGATAAAAGCTTTATTTCTCTGTGGTAAAAGACTCGACAGGAAAACATCGTAAACTAACGCGATCAAACTAAACCACTAGTATAGCAACAGGTAGCACGGGCGGTGGCCAAGGCTGCATTCCAGAGAACGGTATAGGCGGAGTTCTGTCTGGCCGCGAACTGTCCAGGGTCGACTGCAGGAAGCCGGCGGGAGTCTCCGGGATGTCCAGCTCGCCAAGGTCCTGAGGCAGGAAGGAGGCGTCGCAAAACATGAGCTTTGCGCTGATAAACCCGTGGAAGTCGGCAGCTGTGGTCAGCTACACTGCAGACTCAGCTTTTCTGCAGAAAGGCCAGTGGCGAGATAGCCTTCAGATTGTCAGCAGCACCCGAGGAAGACGAAACTGGGGCATCCGGGCAAATCGCCCTCAAATAAAGCTTTGCAACGTGCTAGCATGTTAACGCGAATAGGTACGTTAGAAAGAAGTTAGCGTAAACGTATACATAGGCGCAAGTTATAAGAATGTATGCTGTATTCTAAGTCATAGCAGTGAGGAAGTAACTCCCAGCGCACGCATTAATTATGCATTGTTAGTGATCACATTTTATGCCGCTTTTATTCTGAAATGAAAACTTGTTAATAATCCCAGTAATTTTCTGCATACGTGCCTATCAAGCCGATTTAGGCTGACGTTTTGCGCATCACAGCTTACACAACGGAATATTAACCCAGTTTAGCGGCTCTCCATCCATTATGTAATGTTGCATCACTCGTCAGAGATCGTTGTAATATGTCCCCTTTGTACAGTGCCCTTTGTAAATGACATTGAATGGACTCTAAATCTATCGGGAAACTAAGATGACTGTTTGTACGCATTTATGTATCAGAAGTCAGGACCTAATCGCTCGCAGCAGCTCGACATGCAATATGTAAATTCGAACGTATTCCGTTTTCACCAGCTCCACGATAATGAATGATGGGCTCCGTCTGGGCCCGTTTCTGCATGCGTCGGGTAAAGGGTTAGATAAAAATGGGCAGCGAAATTTATATCAGGGAAGAACTCGTTTGCCACTGCATCTTTTACGTACCTAAGCATGATTTATGTATGAACGGTTTGCGTAGCATCAGCGCTTATTTCGCCTTTTGATAGGTAGCTTATGCCTATCGTTTTCTTTTTATTGTTCACCCTCATTTTTATATGTATAGGATCTACGCTACTCCGCAAAATTACTTCAATGTTTGTACCAAACACTGAAAACAATTTAACCCAAAGCCGGCGAGTAAACCGGTGTTTCGCGGGTACCCCTATCCGCAACCATTTTTACTACCCTCCCAGGAGTACAATAAGGTGCAGTGTAGTCGTCCCTGCTCTCAGTGGATATGTTCGCTGACAGCGGTTATATCCGCTCCGCTCAGAGCAAGTACGACTACACCGCAATGGGACCTAGCACTACTCCTGGGAGGGTGGTTAAAAATGGTTGCGGATAGGGGTACCCATGAAACACCGGTTTACTCGCCGGCCTTGGGTTAAATTGTTTTCAGTGTATCCTTAGGGGTCACGATTTAGTACCTATATAAATGTTATTATTATTATATCGTTTATTCCACTAACCACGATTATCGGGTGGGCGTTACAGTGGAACATTATATAGGTATAATTACCTAGGGGAAGTTGGGGCAATGCCGGAGTTGGGGCAAAGCCGAAATTCGAGATATTTCGAAAACCGTACGACATGGATGCCACCTGTCAGTGATGCTCTGAATCTTAACTGACTACAGTTATCGCATGTTTGTTACGAGTCGTCATTCGGAATGCTTCGGCTGTGAGGGCGCCAAGAGCGTTTTCAAGGTACGTTTCCCTTGTACTACATGCGCCTTTGAAGCTGCATTTCTCACTCATTATGCTACCGTTTGTCTGGCCAATTCGGTCAAGTAATCTTCAGCATGTCTTTGCATAAGTGTGCTGCCTATTTGAAATTTATACAGCACGTTGAAAAGTAATAGGCCTGCAAATGAAAGTATGGCTGGCTGGGGTAATGCCGAAAATGTGCAATTACGCACGTTAATTAAAGCACGCTACGTGGACTTTACTGCTGTAGAATAACTACGCGTATTTTTAGTCACACAAATTACACTTTCAACCGACACAACGGCCTGTTACCTATAAGGAATGATGTACCTGGCATTTTCTTATTTTATCACACAATTATAACTTCCAGTGTGCACCAAGCATCCTCAAGATCTTAAACGCGTGTAAACTTTGATGAATTCTGGATAAAGTTTGAGATAAAATGGCAAAACATCAATGACAGCATTCCCCGTAGATCCTTTCTCCCATTTTCGGCTTTCCCCGCAGTCCGGGGCAACGCCGAAAAAGTCACTTCTTTGATATTTTTAGTTTTTGCGCTTAACGGTATGCGAATTCATCGAATGCGCCTGGTATGTTTGAAAGGCAAAAGACTGGCCTCTCGAATGACGCCAACAAGAATTGCTTATGTTGTCTTCCTTGCGTGCTACGGGCGTCAGAAAAAAAGTCTTCGGCGTTCCCCCAACTTCCCCTATATACCTATAAAAAGTAAATACTTACATACATAAATATATGAATTGTGAATCTAATAAATAGCGATTAGCGAAGCAAAGTGACTTGAGCTACATTTGTTTGTTTTGTTTTCACTTGACGCCGCGTCCCTCCTGGAGCACCGATCACCATAATAACATTCTGTCCTGTCGGGTGTGATTGGCGTAAGGAATGGAGGAATGGACATAACGTGAGAGGGACGGCCGGCCGATCATCAGCCAATGTAACGTTCGAGCAGAGTCTGTGCGGCGCTATAGTTAACGGAAGATAACGTTCGTTATATGTTCGTTAACGGGCTAGCGCCGGACAGCGGCGAGACGGTCCTCCGAACAGCCGCGCCGCCGCCCGGGGCGGCCCCGCCGGCGGCGCGGCCCTCTCGGACGGGACGGGACGGGACGGGCGACGCTTCCCCAGTGCGTGGGCGCTCGGCGCGCGCGGCGGAGATGCGCTCCCGCCCTGAGAGGAGCGTCCGTCGGGGTCGTTTTTTTTTCTCTTTGTTTTTCAGCTCGTCGACCGTCCCTCTCTCATTGCGTAAGGAATGGAGGAATGGACATAACGTGAGAGGGACGGCCGGCCGATCATCAGCCAATGTAACGTTCGAGCAGAGTCTGTCCGGCGCTAGCCCGTTAACGAACATTTAGTAACGGCGAGTAACCTCATTGAGCTACATGATCATGTGGACAATAGTACCTACCCTACCTATAGGTACCTAAGCATGGCGCATGGGTAAGCTAAGTTCATTCAATTTGTCGCCTACCCAGATAGAAAGTAGTAAACAAACGGGCATGTTGAGCAGCAATGGACAAATATATGTATAGGTACCTATGAGACGGATAAAACAGCACTATAGGGTAAACGTGTTTCGTCGAGTTATGACTTGATCAACACCCTTCCGCAAATAATTGTATTGCTTTTATTTCCGAAAGGGTGTTGATAAAGTCACAGCGACGAAACGCGTCCACCCTATGTGCTGTGTTATCCGTCTCAGTAAACGGGCATGTTTATCAGCATTAGCATTAGCGCAGACTCAAAACCATCAGCACATTAAAACGCATTTTGCTGTCGTTCATTTCGTGTCATGATTGTGTTTTTGCTGCCTCATGTCAGCACTATACATGGCTGTTACACGCATGTGCGTAATACGGAATACCGACACAATGCTTGTCCTTGGACGATGGAACCATTCACATCAACCTGACCCATCTGTCCAACACGGGTCCATACAATGTAAAAACCTGGGCCTTTACCTGCCACTATAAACAAACAAGCAAGCCCGGCCAGCATAGGACGCTTCCTGATCAGAGAACAGAGGGAAAGGACAGAGAACCGAACGAGCCTGCGTTACGCGGAAGAGGTCACCAAGGTCACGCTCTTGACACGCGCAGAGTGACTCGGCGTTCCATGAAAAACAGCGACTGACGGAGGCTCCCGTGCCGTACCGACACTGAGTGACGGGGGGGGGGGGTAAGACGGGGACGGTCACGTGCTGTGGGTGGCCTTGCAGGACGGCAGGCGTGTAGAGAACCGTCAGCGGCATTTAAGAGTGGGAAGTATGGGGCACACTGCAGAGTCGAGCGTGTTGTGGTGGTCGTGCCCTGCCTCCCGCCGTCGGTGCGACGGTGGTTCCAGCGTGGAAAAAGAGCGGTGATTAGAATGGTGGCGAAATCAAGACAAATCGTGTCGTTGGTGACTCTTTTGGTGGCTGCTTGTGAAGTCGATGCACTTAACCGTAAGCTATACCTACCTCGAAGGGCTTATTTGCAGTTGAGACGGTAACTTAGAACGTGTTTATTGCACAAAATCACTTGGCTGAGTATTCAGTAATGAATCAATTGTTTTTGCCTTATTTTTTATTGGAGATATTCCCTGAGCAGCTGCGGCATTACATAAATAAAGGGAATGTCGGATGTAAACGTTCTTCACGTTCTTCATACGCAAATGGCGCATGAAAGACCTGTTTGTTACTCGTCCTACTTTTGCTCCCGACGGAAGCGTCATTCTTGACTTCGAAGTAAATAAGGCTTCATTTTTTGGGGACTGTCATTGCATATCCTACAGCTTTGAAACTGGTTATGTCCATCAAATATGCTCAACCGGGCTCTCCATCCATCTTGCTATGCTGCATTCTGAAGAGCATTTACATGAAAAGCGCTTCAAAATCATGCACTTGGAGAGGCTGACCTGCACGATTTACATCCTTCTAAGTCCTAAGATGAGCTGAATTGTGAATTCGTCTTCAGCCTACACCTGAAATACCTACACACATCAAAGTACTCAAACATCACATTATTCTATCTAGCGTTACCAGACAGCCTTTCTAACGTAGTGCTTGCCAAGACACCTATAAGAGACTGTTTGCCGTGTTCCGTTGATGAACCTCCCACGAGCTGGCCGCTGTGCGCCGACAGTGGCGGATGTACCCTGCGGCCAGCGTCAGCTCCTGGCGGCGCGTTTCAAGGTGGTGGGCGGCAGGGAGGCCTACCCGGGCCAGTACCCGTGGGCCGCCTCTCTTCAGATGAACGGCCGACACGTGTGCGGCGCGAGCATCGTCAGTAGCCGATACGTCGTCACGGCCAGCCACTGCCTGCACGGGTCAGTGCCCTGCGCGACCGACGGCTCAGGGGATTATCGCTGAATCGTGATGTTATTCATACCGGTTTATGCAGTATGGCACGTTTCGACATATATCAGATGTTAAGTTTTGATCCAGCCCGAAGAACGAAAGCATAATACACGGCTTTCGCATATTATCTCCTATCTAGCCAGAATTTCACGGCACCCGCACTTCATTAGCTGTAAGGGAAATACCTTATTGTAGGCACTTATCAAGAGTATTGGTCGTTACCAAGGCATTGCTAATCATATTCGCAGACATTTGAGTCGTCTATCGTAAGTAAATGCTTTTCTTAACGCCAGCATCAACGGGAGGCAACAATGTGTTGTAGCGATTCATTTCTCGCGCATCGTTGCTCTGTCGTCTACAACTATAGTTTTTCAGCTTAATTTTATGCATAACAATAGAGTCGATAAGCTTGAGATCAATTCCTGTAAGCATTGTGATCTCAAAAGTGGCACGTTCATGCAAACTGTCAATCGGTGACCAGTCCCTTAAATGTCTGGACAGTCAGTCCAAAGCATGTCCCAGTTCCGTTTATAAGAAATGTTCAAGGTCTATAGCTCAATATAGCCATGGTCTTAGTGTTTGTGGTTTTGTAAGTCTCGGGAAGGATCACTTTTCGCGGTCATGTCGCGTGTAAAGTCAGCCTTGGAAAATCACGGTCAAAGCGTCTGTAAGTGCACTATGTGAAAATATCCGGTATTACACCAGCTAACTTCAGCTTGGACCACAAATGTACTAACAGGAGTTGATAATGAACGTAGAAAGGCTTGAAATGTGGAATGTGCTTTGGCAGTGGTTTATTTCATTCAATTACCTTACCTACCCTAACTTGTTATACGCTATTCGTAGGCCTGTAACTTAATTTCCTTGGCCTGTTACCGTAGATAATTTCAATGAAGACGGCAAATTTCGTCTGTGTCGTTCTTCAATCCCCGTCTAAATAATCACTAAATCCTAAAAGACTTATAACGAATGGACTTTGCTATGCAAAAAATAAACGTCTTTAAATTAGTTGACCGTAACTAATCACTGCTCCTCGCCAGCCGGCCGCAGCCGAGCCTCTCCGTGGTGGTTGGAGAGCACACCCTCAGCAAACAGGAGAGCTCTGAGCAGCGCCTCCCGGTGGTCAGGACGTTCCCGCACGAAAAGTACCGCTACCCCAGCTTCAAGAACGACATCGCCGTGCTCGAACTCGGAGGAGAGGTAACCGGGCTTTGCTCGGAGTGGAAACATGGATCACATTGGAGAATCCAGCACACAGGAGGCCGGAGGGAGATCCTTGCGATCACGAGTAGTTGTCACATGCTTATCACAATTGGCTATGCACTATTGATGCACGCTGTGCATCAGCTAAAATAGTTAAACTGCATAGTGCTTCATGGTAGTAACGTTGCCGACACACATATCCCGATGTTCTTTTTTTGTGAAAACTTTCTCTTTCGACCCTGGTGTGTGTTTTCAGATCGGCTGGAACCAGTACCGTCAGCCGGTGTGTCTGCCCGACGTCGGTCAGGCGCCGTCTCACGGTACTTCGGCCACCGTGGCCGGCTGGGGCTGGCTCGGCGAACATCTCAAAGGTCAAACTTGGGACGTGATAAAGCAGTACTAATTGATGACATTACACTTCAAATAGACGGTGATTGTTGACTGTGGAAAACTGTGGCTACTGAGCACTATTTGGGCTGTGGTTACATTGTATTTATTTGACTTATATTCAGAGCGCGTGATCAAACATGGTTCTTTGTGTTCACTGTTCAATGTTCATGTAACATTCCACACGTGGCTGTGTCGATTCTCCCACAGGCGGGAAGCAGGCGGACGTGCTGCAGCGCGTGCACGTGCCGCTCGTGGCGCCCGCCACGTGTTCCGGCTGGTTCAGTGAGGCGGGTCGGCGCGTGCACATTGGTCGTGGTCAGATCTGTGCCGGCTTCAAGGCCGGCGGGAAGGACGGCTGTCAGGTGAGGACTCAGTCTGGTGTGACTGTCATCTCACGACTGACTCCAGTTGGCACTAAGGGCTATAAAAGCTCGCCATATAAGCTGCACTACCGATACAGTCCAGCGTTATTTTGTCGATCTGGAAGTGAATATGGACGGCCGTGGTCAAATGCTAAACGTTTTGCTTAACCCGCGCGGGGCTGGGGTCTCCAGCCGAACGCGCGGGGCTGGGGGGGGGGGTAAATTTTACCCCCCCCCCCCCTGTTATCTCCCGAACTAATGGTCCGATTTGGAAAAATCAAACGCCAATCGAAAGATCTCATCACGAACTACTAAAAACATGTACTTAATTTAAAGTTTGAGGTCAAGGTCAAGGTCAGGTCAAGGGTACAAATTGCAAGTTTCTACAGTATCGGCCTTGTACCGTAGTTGCCGAAGAATGAAGTCATCGACTGAGACTGATTGCCCAAAACGTGTTCTTAGGCTACCAAGACAATATTTGTTGCATACAGTATCATTCAGTGGTCAAGGTCAAGGTCAGGTCAGGTCAGGTCAGGTCACCAAAAAACAAAATATAGAAAAGGGCATGTGCGACACATGTTTTATGGGTCATTTTACTCATAGAATTCGATAGGCACACTCAATAAGTGATATGGACCACCTCTGGATGAATTTCAGGTCGAGGTCAGGTCAAGGTCAGGTCAAGTGAGGTCAACTTTTGAAGTTGGTTGTTAAGGCCTAAAAAGGTGTCTATCTCTGATGCAGTTTTTCACGGCAAAACGAATGGTGCTATTTTTGTTTCCGTACGAGGTCTAGAACTTCCAAAAAATTCATTTTTTTCAAAAATTTTGTGTGACGTGACGTCATAAAATCTTGAATAACTCCCACATTTTTGAACCGATTCTTCTAAAAATTGGTATGTAGGTGCACATAGACCACTTCTCTGACATACATATATTCCGGTTTTTTCGATACACTCAACATTTTGGATTTCATAATTATTTTCCCAAAAAAGTCAGTTTTTTGAAAAAAAATTTGGGCCAAAATCCAAAATTTTCAAAAAAAAAAAAAAACGAGATAGCCATTTGATAGACAAAGTAGAATTACGTATAACCTTTTATGTTACGTCTTGATTCCTTTAAAAATGAAGATGTTAGCGGCGTTTGAACTTTTGCCGTTTTTGAGGCGAAAATGGCGAACATGACGTCACTAAAACGTCAATTTCTCAAACATTTTCCGACGGATTTCGCTCATATTTTCAGGAAACGTGTCAAATTGATGTAAGAAAAGGTACTGAAAGTTTGGCGGCGCTGCGCGCCGCCGTTTTTGAGATATTGCAAAAATTCGCGAGGGGGGTAAAATTTACCCCCCAGCCCCGCGCGGCATACTGTGTATGCAATCTATGCAGATTGCAGGTGTAACATCTCCGCACTACACCGCCAGGCTACACGTTTCCACTTTCCAGTGAAGGCAGTGATACTGTGCCGCAAGACATCCTTATGTCATATTTTGCCCCTAGATGGCACTAGTTACCAAAGCGCCTGCAGCTATGCTGTGCCGCAGTGATTGGTAAATAAATATTTCGCCGACAGATGGCACTAGCAGAGCGCCTGCAGGTATGCTGTGCCGCAGACCTCTTTTATAAAGCAAACGCCATCTGGTTTCAAGTTATAAAGTTATACATTTTCAACTAGGTACAAATTTTAGACAACCGTTGGTCTTCTCAACTTGTAAACCACAGCCACTCCTCTGCATATACTTACATCTAGCTCCTGCGGGACAGTCCGGAGCCGGTTGTGACGGCCCTCCGTCTCCGTTCAGGGTGACAGCGGCGGCCCGCTGGTGACCGATGAAGGCGGCCACCACACGCTCGTCGGGGTCGTGTCGGCCGGGATCGGCTGCGCCCGACCCAACCTGCCCGGTATCTACACGGACGTACACCTCTTCACCGAGTGGATTGTCAGCAAGACGCGGGCGTCCAGGGGCGGCAGGGGCGACCGGCGCAGCTAGTTACGGCCGCTGGGAGGGCAGAGGGGACGACAGGGAGCAGTCACTGGGGTGGACAGAGAGAGGATTTGTTACGCCGCCGCTGTGGTGAAAGTCGCAAGCAGTTCCGGTTTAGGTGGCTTGGTTCAGGTCATGATGCGTTTAAAGGGCATTGAGAAGTGAGGACTGCTTATCAGACTGCATTTCCAAGGTTATGAGGTGCGAAGAGGAAAACAGGAAAATGGCAGCGACATGTGCATTGTGGGGTCATTACGAAATAAGACATATAATGAGCAAAATAATTGTAATTTAATGCTTTGTATATAAATTCATGGATGGATGCAGGTGTATGTATGCAGGTATATGCATGTGCATTAATGCTGAATGCATGAAAATAAAGTGAATTCGACGTGACATCGCCCTTGACTCCATGCGATTGATCTAAAGAGCTCTAGACTTGCGTATTGCTGCAGGAATAGGTATGCTCGGTGAATCAGAATAGACACTTTTCAAAAGTGTCTAAAATAAACTGCCTACCTACATCAGAACGCCATGATTTCTGCCAATGTATCGGGGAATATCGACGTTACCTAATAATAAGCCAATATTTAATTAATGGACAGAAATTATTTTCATTTAGTGCCAGTCTAAATAACATGACGTACAATCCGACTTACTATAAACTGCCACTCCCCCATCCCATTCACACGCACAGTTACCGGAAATAGTGTCCTCCACTTCCGTAAACACAGAGCCAGACGGGCATTTCCGCCGGCAGAGCGGGCCAGACGGCTGGCTTCCGGTGCGGCTGACCTGGGCTGACCTCTGCCCTCCCCCACCTGAGGTTTCACGGCCAGTTCAAGGTCACAGGGGTGCCATCAGCCACCTGCTGCTGCGCAGAGGCGGGGCATGGTGACGGACGGACCACGGCGCAGTGGAGAGTCACCCCTCTGCGCCCCCCCCCCCCTCCCCCTCCCCAGCCGGAAGCACCGGAAGCCACTGCGCACCGCTGCAAAACGACTTCCAAATGGATCGGAAACGACCTTGAGTCAAGTCCTCGATGCAAACGCGGTGTGATGCGGGCCTGTTTAAAAAAGGGTGCGATGGTGTGAGGTTGTCACTTGGCCGAAGGACTCTGGGTGCACAGGACACTGAGCTCGCTTTTGAAGGAGTGGTGACAGTGCGAGAGATATGAAGCGATTTGTGGCATTTCTATCGGTGGCAGTGATGTGTCTAGCTGGAATATCAGCAATGAACCGTGAGTATACGACCCAGTATCTACCTTAACTAACGTATGGTATACAAAACGTTTTGAAGCTGAAAAGCAATATTACATGCACCTATAGTTCGTTGGTATAGTTATTTGGCAGTGTTTGCATAGAATATATACTGTTTTATATTTTATAGACGGCGGCAATATTTATAACTAAAAATGTTGCTAATGGTTATTAAGACGGTAGGTTAATTGGCTAATTTTTGGTAAATCTATTGCTAATCTTACGCCGGTTTGTGACCGACCATTTTACGGCCGTCTTGCAGTGGCTAACGTGCCGTGCGGGGTGCGTCAGTTGTCTGGCCGCCGAGGTCGGGTCAAGGGCGGTCAGGAGGCGCACAGGGGCCAGTTCCCGTGGTCGGCCTCCGTGCAGGTGAACGGCGCTCACTTCTGCATGGGCGCCGTCATCAACAACGAGTACGTGCTGACGGCAGCGCACTGCTTCGTCGGCAAGCCGAGTGGCGCGGTCACGGTCACCCTGGGAGGTCATGACCTGACCGAGGTCGAGCCGGGTCAGGTCACCATCGCCGTCGCTGAACGGATCATTCACGAGGGGTACCATCCCGGCACGTTTGATAACGACATCGCTCTTCTCAAGCTGGAGAACAAGGTTAGTCACATGGTGTTCGGTCGTGAGGCAGAAATCACAGATTTTGTTTGAATTACTACATATATAGCACCGTTATTTGAAATGCTATTTGAATATCACCGTTTGAACATTGTTAAGAAATTAGATTTCGTTGAATGGTTAAAATGACTTTGGGCACATTGGCGTGCTTAACAGGACTTTATCATATAGAGCTTCTGTCGTCCTTCGATGTCATACAGATCTGACTCTTCAGATCAGAACTGTGGCGACGAATTCGATCAGAGGATGTCTTGCAAGTGAAGTGGTTCTTATCGTTACCGATGTTTTTTTAAATAAGTAAGCGTATTATTTGCTTGCCTATTGCAGATAAGCTGGAACGGTGCAGTTCAACCCGTCTGCCTGCCATCAACTGGGACGAAGAAGTTCGTCGGCATGAAGGGCACTATTGCCGGATGGGGCTACCTCGACGAATGGAGGGATGGTAAGCTATTTTTTCATTTATTGATGTTTGAGCACGACCTCCGGTTGACTTTGAATCATTGAATTGAGTAAAGCATTAGTTACCCTGAACTTGATTATCAAACAAATGCTATTTATCAAACCGTTTTGATGGATTGAAACGTTATTTACATAGCATTTCCACGAGGATTATGTACCTAGTTGAATGAAAAAATGATGTTTGAACTCGCTCCCACTCCCGAGGAGGGCACCGGGGCACCGCGCCCCCCTTTGATTTTGGCATTTTACATAACATTAGCTTTATGGGCGTTGCATGGAAAGAATGGGACCAAAAGTCGGCAGTGCCCCCCCCCCCTTTAATTGAAGGTGTTCCGCCGCTACTGTTTCTGACCGTTTCTGTGTGCCGTGTTGCACCTCAGGCGGCGAGCGTCCCGACACGCTGCACTGGGTTGAGCTGCCCATCCTATCCCCCGAGACGTGCCAGCAATGGTTCACCGAGGCCAAGAAGAAGATCAAGGTGGCCGCCGGCAAAATCTGCGCCGGGTACAAGGAGGGCGGCAAGGATAGCTGTCAGGTGAGAGCGAGAGAGAGAGAGAGAGAGAGAGAGAGAGAGAGAGAGAGAGAGAGAGAGAGAGAGAGAGAGAGAGAGAGAGAGAGAGAGAGAGAGAGAGAAAAAAAACAAGCGATAAAATAAGAAAGATAGAATAATCAGCTGCGTACCGATTGGTGATTAAAAGTCATACACGTGTTCAATGTCGTGCTCGTGACGAAGAAAAAATGACGGCACCCCATTGCTAGGTATAGTAAAGTTAAAATATAGGTAGAGGTTGCTAGCCAAAGAGGCAGCTAACCGCTCCAGGCGGACAGCGGTGGTGCCCTCACCGTCGAGCCGGAGTCCACAGTTGACCTTACGATGACCTGTGTGTATTTCCAGGCGGACAGCGGCGGCGCCCTGACCGTCGAGCGGGGCGGCGAGGTGCAGCTGGCCGGCGTGGTCTCTGCCGGCATCGGCTGCGGCCGACCCGGACTGCCCGGTATCTACACAGACGTCACCAGCTACACCAAGTGGATCGTGGGGGAGATTAGTGCCCGCACCACCTTCTGAGCACCAGCTCAGCCAGTCACCAGAGCTGGTGACTTGGTGATGCCGTACGGGTACCAACTGCCAGCTGCCGTTCAGCCCATAGTTCGGGCTGATGTCGCGAGATATATATTATCAGTGAGCTTTGGTTGGTAGAGTGACCGAGGAAATGGTTTGAATGGAAGTGCTGAAGCATGTTTTGCAGTGCGGGATTTGGATACTACGTCGACATACTGATCTCATGCTGCGAACCTCTCGACGGGTAAACGATGCTTGCCATGAAGTGTTGTTCAGCTAGTAGTGTGTATAGTTAAGTGCAGGTAGACAGGGCAGTGGACACCCATACGAGTGAATTATAGTTGTCTTAATACACCTCATACCACGTGGAAGATTTTTATAAAATAGATTACGAACTCCTACGCTCCTAAGGTAGACGGGGTTGAGGCTGTTGAACTTTTGAGTATGGTTCAGACCTCACCAAGTTTCTTTGTTTACCACTCATTCCAGGGCTGCTTAGAGCCTGTCAGTAGCATTTTATGAGGTTATGTGACAAAATGATATGCGTTATTCTTTGAATGAAATTTATTGAAAAGCGCAACTTAGTCATAACACTATGTATTTATGCATCACCGTACATTCATGCTCCTACCATCAACATCCCAATTTACTGGACTGCACTTCCAAAGTGTGGACGACAATGCCATTGAAACCGCACCATTAAAAGAAATAGCCATCCAAAAGCCTATTTCTCGCTGGTCAATACTCCAAATGAACACAAAAATGTCAAATGTGCTACTTGATTTTTAGCACAACGATGCACATCGAATATCAGTGCGCAAAGAACAGAAAGGCAATAGAACTCAGACCGAGGATGCAGTGTCCGTTTCCCTAGTCCCCGCACTGAACCCTTGCCAGCTCAGTGGCGGCACAGTCGCGGCGGCCGTAGACCCGCCGGCAGCCGGACAGGCTGCGCTCCGAGCCGCCGCACACGTAGTCCTTCACCGAGAAGAAGTTGGGTTCGGCGGCGGCCGTGGTGTTCCAGGGCAGCGGCCGACCGCCGGACAGGCCGAGCGAGCGGCACGCGACGCCGGCGTCGGCGGCCGTCCAGTCGCTGTCGCAGAGGTACTGCCACAGCTGGCCCGAGTTGAAGGTGAACTGCAGCAGGCCGTCCGAGCACGAGTCGCCGCCCACCAGTCGGTACTGGTAGGAGGAGCCGCCGCTGGGCGAGTCGCAGGTGCGCACCGCACACGCGCCGGCGGCGCACACCAGCCCGACCAGCGTGGGACAGTCGGCGTCCCGGTGGCACGGCTCGCCGATCCCCAGTCCGGAGCGGCACTCGGTGCCGTTGAAGTTGAAGAGGCCGCGCGGGCAGCCGCAGAGGCCGTCGGCGCAGACGGCGAGCTCTGTGGCGCCGCGGCAGTCGCTGGTGGCGCGGCACGGCTCGGTGAGCCGCGGGTACGGCCGGCACGCCTCCCCGGCCACCGGCTGCAGGCCGTCGGCACACCGACACCGGCCGTCACTGCCGCACACCGTGTCCGACCGCAGCGCGCCGCAGTCGGCAGTACTGCGGCACGGCTCCCCCAGCAGGCGGCCCGTCACCAGACTGGGCCGACCCGAGGGCACCGGCGTCAGCGCCACCACCTCGGCCACGGAGGTCAGACGGGCCGACAGCGCCTGCTGGAGCTCCCTCTGCCACTCAGGGAAGGACGACAGGATCCCGCCGATGCTGGCCAGGGCGCTGGAGTGGTCGGGAAGGGACGACTGCTGGCTGGTGATGGCTGCCAAGGATTCCTGGACGTCGCTCAGTCGTCCAGAGTGAGCTGACAGCTCCTGAAGGGCCTTCTCCTGACCGGTGACCAGCTGCTCCAGCGGCTCCATCCGGTCCCTCTTGCTGGCGAGCGAGGCTATGTTCTCCTGAAGATACTTCCTGGATGGAAGGCCGGTTAGCGCAACTTGAACGTCCCTTTGGTGGTCAGAGAGGATGGCCAGTGAATCGGCCAGGCCCTGCAGCCGCACACCCTGCTCGGAGACAGTCTCGATCAGCGCCTGCTGGGTCTGTGAAAGGGAGGTCAGGACGCCCGACAGATTGGGATCCTGTCTGCACTGCGAGGCGAGACTCTGCTGCACCTCCTGTCGCGTGGGAACAATGTCCAGCAGGTACTCGACGCCTTGCGGCGGCTGCTCGGAGAAGACCTTCAGCTGTCCCGATAGTGTCGTCAGTTCGTCAGTCATGTTATTCTGCTGCCTCTCGAGAACTTGCAGTGTCCGTTGAGCTGACTTTTGGCCTTCGGAGAGGTCAGTGACGGCTCTTTGGAGGGCCTCCTGCCTGGCGATAACATCTGAGAGAGACGTCTGCAGGCTGTCCTGACGGTCGGATATTGGGGACAGGGTCTCCTGCAGGCTCTCCTGGCAGGCTGAGGCGGCTGCAGGGGACTCTCGCAGGCCGTTCACCAGGCTCTCCATGGCCTCCAGACGCGCGGTGAGTCCTGCCACCGCGTCCAGCGAGCTCTGCACCCTATCCAGTCGAGACAGCACCTCGGCGTGCGTGTGTGCCGTGATGTCTCGGACGCCGGTATGGAGCATCTCGGCCACAACATCCAGCACCTCCCTCATGGAGTAGTCGCTGCGCAACTCCAGGTTGGTGAGGCCGGCCTCCTCGGGACTGAGGTCGCTGCCGGACACTCGGGAGCAGTGCAGCGTCAACAGCTGGACGGCCAGTGTCCAGCCGAGCAGCACACAGCGCAGAGACGGAGAACGGACGGCCATGGCGGCGGCGACCTGCGACACAGCCACACTGGCCCCGACTGGCCGCGGCCAGCAGCCTGATATCCCACGCCGCCCACCGGCAGCGGATGCCACTATCTGGACACGGGGCGTCCCGCAGAGGATGTGGCAAGCTGCGCCTCGTGGTGGCGATGTTCCGGAAAGGACATGATGGTACGCACCTACCACTCAGTTCTCTGCTGCGTGGGACTTTCCGACGTCAGGAGCCAGCAGCTGGACGGGAAACCACGCTGACCACTGGTCAAGGAAACAGTGATGTGAGGAGTCAAGAGTGTTGCGTCTTAGACCCGACGGAAACACAAAATTCCGCCGGAACTAGGACTTCAAGCCATCATAGCTATCGTGATCAGCTCGACAGACGCCAATGTTTATCGTGCTTCTTCATTGAATTGAATTCAATGCTGTATGATTTCAACTGATATACCTACCTACCTAACCGCCAACAATCCATAACTTACTGCAACGCTAGTAAACCTAAGACATTCTTCGTCAAAACAGGTCAATGCATCATTCACATGTCGGACGTCCATGTACCCGTTGACCTTTGACCTGATGCGTTACATTATTGAAATGCATGCAGACTGGCTCTACGCGGTGTCTAAGCCCTGCTCTGGTTTCTGAAACGGGTAACGCCCCGCCCACCACGACCGGTCTGTGCAGACAGGGCTCAGCGCAGACAGACAGTCAGTCAGGCAGGGCTCACACGGATGGCTGCCGAAGTGGTACAGCGTGGAGGACCGTCCTCACTGCAACAGCAAACGACCAGGAACTCAACACCGCACGGAACTTGTGATGTTCAATGGCATGTGCAGAAAGTTAACGGCTGACCGGATTTCACCCATGAAGTTTCGCAACAGTCTAGCAGTCCGAGCAGTCTTATTTGTTGTGACATGAATTCCCATTATCCTGGGCACGAGTGAAAGGCAATAAAGCACGATTATTGCTTACCTAGGCATTTAGTACGGAGGATTAGCAGTATTACTACGCTGTTCGTTGCATTGAGTAGCCACCAGTTGCCGTAACATATCCGTCTGCCAAACCGGTCTCTTACCTAGTCAGTGGCGAGGCCAGTAGATTTGACATATATTGATGGACATAGATATTCGAGCTTCCTAAAGAAAGATACATTTAAAAGGAAATCACACACATACTGGAAAGGAAAATATGCATTGGGACTACCGCACAATCGCAGATACCTAGATATATCATCAGAATATGCGTTTACACTGCCGAGTAACTCATGTTCGTGGCGTTTTCGACTTTTATTTAGCTCAACTACCTATGATAATTCCTCCATTTCATTTCATAAAATTAAGGCCTTTTTCATTAAAGAGCTTAATTGGAATATCTGTCATAAGCTAAGACTTCTGGCTAAACGCCAATAAACGGACTTCAAATGAGTGAATGGCAGGACGAAGTAACGTAAGAATTCATACAGTGTATCGTGACAGTGGGGACGGACGGGACGGGGCGGGACGGGGCGGACCGGCGCCGGTCTTGGTCTGCACGGGCGTCAGACAAGAGTCTGGACTGTGTCACGTCGCGCGCGAGCCGCCCGCCCGCCGCCAGTCACAGTGGCCCCGTGTCGCCCAGTGGTGCGTCTGACGCCGCGTGGACCCTCCGTCGGCGCCGCCCAGGGACGAGAGGAGCCTCCGAGAGCGACTCGGCCAGAGAGCGAGTGCCGCGCGGAGGCGTGACCGGCCGCGTGGGTCGTGGCCGAGGTCACCGTGTGTGTCTGGGCAGGCCGGGAGGCGGTGGTTTCAGGTAGACGGTGACAGGGATACCTAGTGGAGCGGACTGGAGCCGATCGGAGCTCAGTGGGGCCGGGCGGAGCTTAGTGGAGCCAGGTGGAACTGGGCGGAACTGAGCGGAACTGCTCGGAGGTCGCAGTACAGGTAAGACGTGACCGCCCTGGCCTCTCAGTATCGACATGCAGCTAATCGATTTAAATGTTAGTTATGTCATCCGGTGCTCATGAGCTGCATGGTTGATGCGCGTAACACGATGTTTGCCTGTTTCAAAAAAGTTTTACGATCACTTACGTAATGAACTGCTTAATGATTAATTGCCGATTTTGTGATCAAATTTCCCTGGCCGAGCTGGTATCCATTCCGCCAGACAGGCCGGTGGGGTTAGCTCCAGAAAGAGCACACCCTTCCGGGGCGAAAGCAAGTGGCGGGCTGGCCTGTTTCACCGGATACCATGACATCCCAGTGGTAGGTACGGACCCACTACCCAGTCACTGCAGCACACCAGTCGGTGCTTGCGTTGTGAACACCAAACGTCCTATAGCATGCGTCCATTATAGTAACTAACCTGGAGCACCGACTGGTGTGCTGCAGTGACTGGGTCCGTACCTACCACTGGGATGTCATGGTATCCGGTGAAACAGGCCAGCCCGCCACTTAAAGGTAGTGTGCCAGCTTTCCTGGACCGTATGGAGTTAATGGCCCAGATAAGGAGAACCGGATTTTTAGAACTTATCCATACCTTCAAAACTCATGGAAACGTCTTAAATTCTTCAAATTTTGAGTACCCCAGTGCGAAATTCGCCCCGACGGGTTGTCGGTCGTACCCCAACCACATTTCACACCACTATGAA